GTTGTTGTTGAGTTGTAAGGGTTCTTTACATATTCTGAATACTAAATTCTTATCAGGTGTATGACTTGTAAATACTTCCCATTCTGTGTGTTGATGTCTTTTGACTTTCTTAGTAGTGTTATTTGAAACACAAATGTTTTGGCCAGCCCCTGGCTCACTCAGGAGATTGTGGTGCTGGTAACACTAAGGCCATGGGTTCGGATCCCATATAGGGATAGCCGGTTGGCTCACTAGGTGAGCATGGTGCTAACACCAAGTCAAGGGGTAAGATCCCCTTACCGGTCATCCTTAAAAAAAAAAAAAAAAGAAAAAAGAAACACAAATGTTTTTAATTTTGATGAACTGTAACTTATTTACTTTTTTCTTGATTGCTTGTGTTTTGGGTATCACATCTAAGAATTGATTCCCTTATCCAAGGTCACAAAGAATTGCACGTTTTCTTTGAGGAATTTTTAGGTTTTTGATTGATTTTGAATTAATTTTTGTACATGGTGTGAAGTAGAGGTCCAAATTCATTCTTTTGCATGTGGATATCCACTTGTCCCAGAACCACTTTTTGAAAAGATCATTCTTTGCTCATTGAGTTATCTTGGCTCCCTTGTAAAAACTCAGTGGTCTATAAATGTGTGGATGCTACTCACAGGAGCTACTCACAGGATTTTATGTCAGAATGTAAATCAATGGTCTGCTTCTCTCACAGGTAAAATCTTGCTAACAAATAGACAAACAAAAAATTAGCTTAGTGATTTGATTAATTTATGTCCCAAAGCAAGCTCCTTATTTCCTTATCTCTGGACTGGTAACAGTTTACTAACTAGCAGATGTTTGTACCACACTTTGAATAACACTGCTCTAGATCCTTGCTCCTTTAAGTTCCCCTGACCAGTAGCATCGGTACACACTTGTTAGAAACTTAGAACCGTAGGTTCTGTCCCAGGGCTTCTAGATTAGAATTTGCTTTTTAACAGGATCCCTAGGTGATTTATATGCTTGTTAAAGTTTGAGCAGCACTGCTCTAGAATCAGACTCTAGATGACTTTAAAGATCTATTCAGTAAGTACAGGATTAATTAATGAGTAAAACTTGGGAAAGGGAAAATAAATGTGGGCATAGAGAAGAGAAAATATCTGGGACTTCGTATGTAGTAGAAGCTCAAAAGGGACTCCAATAGAACTCCAGGGCCAGCCTAGATCTCAAAGTGTTTTTGTTTTTATTTTTCACTACTGCACTACTTGATAGTTTTTGTTTGCCTGTGAGTAACTCCTCTTCAAGAGAGTTATAAAGGAAATTTAGGGTTACAGAGAGAAAAGGGAAGGGAATAGTAAAGCAGAAGGCTATTACAAAGCAACTTTAGGAGAAATAAACTAATTCCAGGCCTTAGAACTGCTTTCCTTCATATTTAAGTTAAAAAGAAGCTGAAATTTGCTTAAGAGAGTCTGTTGAACTATAGTGTGATTCCAGAAGTAGGCAGCAATAGTGCTCTGAGTCATAAAATCAGAAAGTATTGAATATTTGAAAGGATGGTCAAAGCAGGTGAAAATAGTTCTTTGGCAACTTACTGTCTGCAAATGCAAGCACTATCAGCATCAGGTATCATGCTGAAATTCTAAGGAAGGGTAGACTGAGCAAATGATATATAGGAAAATTGGTTTGTATACAATGCTCTTTTTTACCATTTTGAGGTGAATTACATGTTATTTATATGCTACTTAGAATGCTGTCTGTTTTCTTGGACATAAATGTAAAGGTTTTCATAGATATACTTGGGAATTGAGTACTCAATTTTCCACAGAAGGCCTTAACTAAGAACTTTCCTGTCACAGGAATTTTGTGGCTAGGGATAGTATACTGTTCTGCACTACAAGCACCATTAATTAGGACCCCAAATAGACTTGTAATTTGTAATAATCTATAGGCTCTGGGTTAAAGGCCTGGTTTTCAAAAATGGTAGCTTTTGCATGTATTATGAAAAAGGCTTTTTTCAGTGCTTCAAGCAGTTAAATATAAAAGTTTTAAGCTAACTACAAGCCATTTTAAATACCTATTTAATAAAGCAATCTTCTAATAACAGTTTGCCAGCTCTTTATTAATGTTATTTAATGTTAATTAAAAAATAAAGTTTAAAATGACAACACAAACTCTTTAGACTTATCACTGCTTAACTCATGTAGTAGGAGCTGATCTGATCTATAGTTAACTGAACATTCCCCACTGTCCTGAAAATCAGGTCTTGACTTATATTTATCATACAGACTTTTATCACAATTCTCCAAATAATAGTTGTAGCCAAGGGCCACAAAGCATCTTTCCCACATCCTCCCTTTTCCTGAATAAGCATGCGGTTTGAGGTGCTTCCCCTGTGGGTTCCATCCCATATCTCTATGTCCCCTTTTGTACTGCAAGCCTGGGGCTGGTCTTTTAACTAAAGCCAGAGGAAAGCTTGGGTACTTCTTGCCTGTTGCTGCTGCGAATTGGGCAGGAGCTGCTTCCAGTATACCCTAAGGGCAAGTCACTCTCAATTTGCAGTAAGATTTTTCTCTTGACCTTTTCTACATTTCACAGCCATTCAAACAGATCTTCTCCATCAGAGTTAAAAACTAGTGGAGTTTTACTCTTAAAATCTGAGATGTGGCTGGATCATCATATTATTAAAGGTAAATGCCATTGTCTCCCACCAAAGAGAGGGATCTTTTCTGCTTGGAGATATCTCAGGATCTCTGCAGGAGACAAAATGAACAGGAATTTGGACTTGAACTGTTTAACAAACATCTTGGCAAACTGTTCTAGGGTACCATCTGGAGATGTTAATTATTCGGTTTTGGTCCTCTAATGGCTGTTGACCTTCTCTTGGCTCTTCCAATTTTTTTTTTTTTTCTTTCTTCCAGATGCTTTATTATTCCACTTGGGGTGAGACAAACTCAGAGGTAGTATAGCTGATTCTTTTTCATAGTTAAATGTAGAGACAGTAGTCTCTCATTCCTTTTTGCGGACATATGGAGGACAGGATCTGCTTTATTTGGGATGTAAAGAACTTCTCTCCAGTCCTTCCTACTCCCAGGACTGTGTAAATGCAAACAAGTTCTAGAAGGGTTGGTTGATGATGGCACAGAAAAGCAGAGGGTGGAATAGGCCTCTAAAACATGAACCCTGAAATCGCTTTTTGTTTTGGAAAAACGTGAATTCTAGAGACTGCTTACAGCCTCATCATCTCCCTTATCTGTTATCCAAAGCATATCTTCTAAGCCTTTTATTTTTCTTATCAAGCTTCTCATTTCTGTACACTTCGAAGATGACCTTGCTTTCTACCAAAAATAAAGCAAATGGATCTGAACTCACTCAAATTCCTTTTTTCTTTAGCCTTAAACCAGTATGCACATCCATGTCTACTTCCTGCTTGCCTGGAAAAAAAAAATGTCACTTTAAGACTAGTCCCTTTAACAGTACTATTAATACTCCCCCCCCCCTTTTTTTACCTAAAGGACTTTGTTCCATCGTCCTAGTCCTCTCCAGTATCTCAAAGCCTTATTCTCCTGTTCCCTGGTCCCTGTTACTCTTTGGTGTTCAGTTTTCTCTCAGCCTAAAAACTCCTCCTCTCAATGCTGCTCCTTTCTTAAGCACTAATGTTCTGAAAGAGTAATCTGTAGTTACTGGGTCTAATTGCTCAACTTTCTTTGCAAGTCCAGTTCCATTCTCACCTCCATCCCATCCCTTCTTCCAAACTACACTCACTAAGTCTCCAGTGACTTCCAACTCCAGTGGTCCCCTTTGTTTATATTTTTTGAGGGTTTACCTCTTTTTGTCTACCATTTCTGAGGCAGTAGTTGTTCTTAATTTGTCACTCAGGGGAAAGTTATAATGAGTTTTGACTTTGATGCTCAGGGTTCAGGTTGTTTACTTGATACTGTGAGATGGCTTCTTATTTTGGTATGTAATTTCAGATTAAAAGAGACTTTATCACTTTAAACAGCTGAATCTCCAGTTGGGTGATGGTAGTTTCTGTTCTTATGGTCCAAACTGCCAACCCTGTATGGTGGCTCTCATAGAACTACGTGTTTTCCACTCTTTCCCCCTGACATTTTAAAACAAAAGTAAAATAATTTAGTAAAACTAGTTAAAAGAAATCTTACCTTGTATTTGTGTAAAAATCTTATACCAAACTTGCTCACTTTTTCCTCCTCCAACTTAGTTCTTAATAACCTTGGATTTTGAAAGTCAGCATTAGGAAGATTTGCCTCTATGGACACTGAAATGGCTATACCAAGGAGTGAAGCAACTTCCAGTGCCTAAATGGGTCACAACACCTGGGAAGTGCTCAATAAATATTTGCTGGATGAATGAATTCCACAAGTAGCCCTGAGAGATCACATGGAATTCCAGCTAAAGAGCTGGAAACATGCCCCATCTTATACCCCAGTTGGTTGGCTTGAAAAGTTTAGTTATGAGCAAAATGCTTAGGTCTGGGTACTATTGTGGTCCCTTCAAAACTTTGTAAAGCAGTCATTCTTTTCATATTTCCTAAAGGGAGAAAAACAGTATCAACCATTTAAAAGTCAAGTTAAATTCACTTTTGCTCCTATGACCAAGAAAAACTTTAATTTTATTTTTCTGAATTAAAATTTCACATATTTAAATAGTTCATGCCATCACTCTCCTCTTTACCCCTTTGCAGTATTTCTGGAGAGAGGAGTCTTTGCTTCTGGCTTACGTGGAGCACTGATGTAGTGAGCAAGTAGGCACTGTGTGTGCATTTTACTCCAGAATTTAGGTTCTGGAGAGTGCTATGGTTTAGTAGGGTTATGGAATTGCTATTGAAGATATGGTTGTGAATCTCAGAGACCCCTGGAAAACCTGTTCATCATCCTGTTCCTTAGTCTTACTTCTCAATGCTGGTAGTGTCATCTCTGTGTATTTAAATTATCTGTGCTAGTGGAACTGACTGGCTAATTCTGTCCCTATTGGCATCTGTAATTGATGATATATTTCTCAACTCTTGTTCACAGAGGGACCTGTCAGGGCACAAGAACATTGTGGGTTACATTGATTCTAGTATCAACAATGTGAGTAGCGGTGATGTATGGGAAGTTCTCATTCTGATGGACTTCTGTAGAGGTATGTATATGAACCGTACCCGTAAGCTCTCATTTCTCTAGCATTTTGATCATCAAGGGCATGGGGGTCATTTCATTTAATGTGCACTGCACCCTAAAGTATGTTCTGGTTTTACAGATGGGAAAACTAAGAGGGTAAAAGATATAGAGTCTGCTGTCAACTCTTGGTTATTCTTATAATGGCTAGGAGCAGTGGCAGAAACAATTGAAAGTGATGGATAATATAAAACTCCATTTTTGTTAAGTTTAGGAAGGTTTGGTGATTGTATATAAATGAAAAAATAAGAGATTGAGAATCAATGTGTTCTTTGTGATGCTTTGAAACAAATGATGAAGATACATAATAAAGACCCAACTCCAGATGGACGCAAGAAATAAAGCAGCTTCCCCACTCCCTCACTCGTGTGTTCTCTTTCATACTCACATCACTGTCTTTGTGTTATGGGATAAAAGAATCCTTTTTGTCTAATGGAAATGACCTTTCCATCCTTGCTCTAGAGCTGTAATTATTAAGAAGGCTGTATGCAAATGATGCTGCTATTAACAGTGGAGTTAAGTAGTTGAAAGCTTAAAGTTTCAAATAACATTTATCTTGGGAAATCCAGACTAACATGAATTTATTCAGAGTCTACTGCGTTTCATACAACCATAGTTTGGAGGTTTAGCTTTTTTGGCCTAAGAAGCTGTCACTTACAAGCTAGGGTCATTGTCTTACTGTTTTATGCCCTGTTTTGTAACCACCCTTAGTTCCACTAACGTTTTTCCTGCCCTTAAATACTGTCCATAAATTACATATGTGCTAATCCAAAAAATACCCCAAAATTAACCAGTATTTTCTACTCTCATTGTGTTAACTGTTAACCTGATTTTGTAAAATGCTATCAAATTTAAAAATGACAGTTTGTTTCCTCCTGCCCATTCTTTTATGGATAGTAAAATCTTTAGGGACTGGGTAGTAGGAACATTCCAGGGAACTGGATAATTTTGTAAGTGAGGCTATCAATCTTTTGGTCATAGAGATTAAATGTTGGTATAGCATTTCCACAGGCCAAGCAGTAAGTAGTAAAGACAGAGAGACCAGCCAGTTCCTAGAGTACAGACTCTAAAGCTATCCTCTTCCTGCTCCCTGGGTCTATTGTGCCATCTGGTTCTTACTAGAAGATAAGGCAAGTTGAGCCTGTGGTCTCATCTCATACGTAACAGGGTCAGTGTAACCTGGCAACTACAGCAGGACCATATTTTCAGTTCTGCTACCAATCATGAAGACATAAAGAGGGCAGTTCATGTCTGGGGTGCTTTATAAAATTAAGAAACTGTTTTTGACATGTTTGAGAAGGGACTGGATTGTAAGAAAATAAATCCTGGGTTTTAATCCTGGCTTGGACAATTCTGTTACCTTCGTCCAGGCTGCTCCTCTTTGGACAGCCATTCATTCTCTTGGTCTAAGTGACAAGTCTGAATGTTTATAACCTCTCCTTTGCTCTGCACCCCTCTCAGGAGGCCAGGTGGTAAATCTGATGAACCAGCGCCTGCAAACAGGTTTTACAGAGAATGAAGTGCTTCAGATATTTTGTGATACCTGTGAAGCTGTTGCCCGTCTGCATCAGTGCAAAACTCCTATTATCCACCGTGACCTGAAGGTAACAGACCACACTGTTTCATTAAGTGCGTTCTTACTGAGTATTTTCTGTCTGCCCCGGGGATGTGAAAGCATTTTAAGGCATGGTCCCTAATTCTAAGCTTACACTCTGCCTGGGGGAAGAAAATACAGAGGAAAAGTACAGTACAGGTATCAATTTTATTACTTAACTAGCCTCTGGAAATTCTTTATAATTATCAAATGCCTGAACCCATGTTTTGTTTTGTTTTTTTTTTTTCCTGATATACCCCCAAATTCACTTTTCCAGGGTCATAAAAAGTAATATGCTAATTTAAATAGTTTGTAAACAAAAATGCTTCATTTTTAAAGTCTGTTTCATATTTTGCAAAATCCATTAATTATTTTAAAAATTTGCCTACTAATTACCATCACCTTGCACCGTGCCTTTCATATTTTTGTCACTTGACAATGTTTGTTGAATGGAGTTGGCACCTGGTTAGGATTCAGCTTAGCATTTATTGAGCACCAACTATATGCCATGTACTTTACTATACTTTATGTACTCTGAGTCTTTGGAGGAAGACATGTTATATTTTATAGTTAGGGAAACTGAGGAGCAGAGAGTTTACATGATTTGCCCAAGGGCATATAACTAGGAAGGAGCACTACCACAATTCGAATACAGCTCTTCTGATTGTAAATTACAATTTCTTTTCATAATACCTGTGTTTCAAGCAACTTGCTACATAGCAAATAACTTGGATCAGCATCCCCTAGTGTGCTTATTAAATGCAGAATACTAGTCTCCATTGGATTCTGTTGGGCTAGAATTTTGGCGATGATGTCAGGGAGGCCCAGGAGTTCATATCTTAATAAGCACCCTAGTTAGTTTTTGTATACTCTGAAGTTTGAGGATCACAGCAGCATACTTACATTTCTAGATATAATTCACATACCATAAAATTCACCTAAGTTATTTGCCATGTAGCAAGTTTCTTGAAACACAGGTATAATGAAAAGAAATTGTAAAATTCAGTAGTTTTTAGTACATTTACAAAGCTTTGCAACCAGCAGCATTATCTAATTCTAGAATATTTCATCATCCCCAAAAGAAACATTATATCTGTTAGCAATCATTTCTTCACTTACACTAGCCCCTGGCAACCACTAATCTACTTTCTGTCTCCATGTATTTTAATGTTCTGGACATTTCATATAAATGGGGTCATATAATATGTGACTTCTTGTGTCTGACTTTTTTTACTTAACATAATATTTTCAAGGTTTGTCTACGTTTAGCTTATATCAGTACTTAATTTTCATGGCTGCATAATATTCCATTGTATGGATGTACCACATTTTGTTTATCTCTTTATTCATTAATGGACATTTGAGTTGTTTCCACTTTTTGGCTATTAGGAATAATGCTGCTATGAACATTTGTATACCAGTTTTTGTGTGGACATATGTTTTGAATTCGCTTAGGCATATATCTAGGGGTGGAATTGCTGGGTCATATGGTAACTCTTTGTTTAACTTCCTGAGGAGCCTTCAAACTGTTTTCCAAAGTGGCTACACTATTTTACCTCTATCAGCAATATATGAAGGTTCCAATTTCTCTACATTCTTATCAACACTTGTTATTGTCCTTTTTTATTTTAGCCATCCTAGTGGGAATGAAGTGGTGCATACTGGCATTTCTGTACTAAGGCAGTTAGCTTATAGGAAGATAGGTATATACCTCCAAAAGCCTAAGGTAGCCTTCTCGAGTGTACCTCTGCCCATAGTCAGTCTTTTTTCTGAGTAGAAAAAGGAGAACGTATCTTGGTAAATATTTATTATGAGCCTAGCGTAGTACAAGTACATAATTCTGTGGTGGTGGTAAAGATATAACATGGTTCCTACCTTCAAGATGTTGAAAGTATTATTGGTAAACAGATATAAATGAAATATTTAGACTTGAAACAGAAATAGGTGAAATACAAAACTTTATAGAAGAAGGTGATAAATAGAAGAGAATCAAGTAGCTTAATGTATGGTCAAATAGTGGGATCAAGTAATGGTGGTTGGAATTTTCTGGAAAAATATAGTTTCAGACGACTGATGGGATTTGGATAGTCACAGAGATGATAAAGAACATTCCAGGCAGAGAGCAGAGCCAAAGGGCTGCCTATAGAAGGGAACAGCAGAGTTCTTACACATGGAGAGAAGGAGGTAAGGGCCAGTGCATAGCCAGTTACAGGTAAGGCTAGAGTGACTGCAGCCACCACTCTGAATACATATTGGCACTTTATTCCTAGCTGCCTTTAACAATGAGTGAAATTCTTGGTTAAATACTGTTAGCATGTATTTCAAAATAGACAGTGGTAACAAAACTTAAGAACCTGACCTCTATCCCTACTGTCTGCTTGGAGAAGAGTTTGTGAGGGGTACAGGAATAGGGGAGAAGTGTGGCTGGTGGGCTCTGCTTCTGTGACCCATGTGGCCTTGGGCCTCTCCATAGCCCTGTTCTTGCCTCCATGTCAAATAGGGCTGGATTTCATTGAACTGTGATTCTGCAGCACTGTATGACTGATAGTGTCAGAATTGTAAGTGTGGTGAGAAATGAGCATAGGCAGCTTCCTCCATGTTGTCAGATGCAAAGGACATTTTTCAGTCCCCGTCTTATTCTTCCCATGGCTTCTGGCTCCTTTGTGACCGTCTCCTTTCTTGTCCTCTGTGACAGCGTGTTCTTCCTAGCTCCTCCTTCCCAGGATCTGTGGCTTGCTCCTCAATTCACTTAGCCTCTCTGAGCTCCAGCTTCCTCATCTGTAAAGTGGAGATCACATGCCTGCTTTGTTAGGGTTGTGGTAAGGTTGAATGAGAGAGTGCGTGCCAGTCTCTAGGCACTTCCCTACACAGCGAATGCTTGAAAGGGCACAGAGGTGATAGCAAGAGGGAGGCAGAGAGAGCCATACAAGACCCTTTGAGTGCTATTCCCGTGTTCTTAAAGAAAGTCTTCATTTTACCTTTTAAACATTTATTGGATTAAGTGAAGCCTAAGTGATAATAATTTCATACCAGTAAATAATACCTACCCAGTTCACATATTTCCATGGTAGTAATGCCCTGTGATGTTCATAGTACTCCTGAGAGGCATTTGGTCAGGATTACACAGTGATGGGACCTGAGGTTCAGAGCTCAGTGTCTTGCCAGGGTACGCAGGGTAGGTCTGTGGTAGGACTAAGGCAGCAGGGCTCAGACTCTTCCTTCACTGCACTGAATAGCTGCAAGGTATTTCAGCAGGGGAGTGTGGAGCAAGCTGGAGTCCCAGGGGGAGGCAGCTGCATAAGCAAGAGGTGGCCCTGCTCTGTTCCCCAGCCCGCTGTCAGCGCTCCTAGGGGGAAGCAGCGCAATGCTGGGAACTCAATATTGGGCTCTGTTGTGGTCAGTGCTGAAGACCATCAGGCATGCTGCTGTTTGCTCATGATGGTTCAGGAGACTGGCTATGTTTCCCTTTCTACTATACCTTGGAAATAGGGAACAAAAATAAGGACTTGTGGAAGGAGACCTCAATTGTGGTGCCATTGTTTTTACTCGTATCCTGGTGGTTTTGATTGAAGCTTTCTAAAACTACCCAAATCTTACACTTGGTGCCATCTAGATGCTTTCATTAGCACATAAGAGTGTGTTGATTTCTACTAGTACATGCATGGTGGGCAGTGACATTCACCTGCTGCTCCCCATACCTCCTGTTTGCCCTGGCCCTGTCATTGCATTACATGGTTTCAGCCACTCTGAGCTCCATGTCACTGCTGGAACCAGCCACCACAGTCCTAGTGGTAGCCAGGCCAAGAAGTTCATTTTCCTGTTGGCCAGACGAAGTGCTGGTTGCTTCTCTGTGAGCAGGATTTCCATCTGGTGAGGAGGCAGCACTGTGAATAGTCTGTGGGACATGGGAAAGAGCATGGGCCAGGCCTGACATGGGCCTCATTGAGCCCCTGTATCTGGGTCTGCTCGCTCATGTGCAGAACTGAGGAAAGCTCCTCTTGCTCTGCTTACCACATAGAAGGCCTTTCTTTCCAAATACATAGAGGAAATAAGCCAAAAGCAGCCCCTGTCCTTACATAGCTTATATTCTAAAAATAACCATAACAGAAGTACTGTTCTATATTGAAGGGCTCTCCTCAAATACATTATGTAAACCCTTCAATTATTTCCCCCATTTATTATTTTCATCTCTCTGAAGAAAGATAAAGATCATTATTGCAGATCATGGGGTCATAGATCTGGGAATGTCACCTCAGCCAGCCCTCTCCTTTACCAATGAGGAAACCTTAGCACAGAAAGGCTGTATAACCTGCACAGGTAATTAAGTGATCAAACCAGAGTAAAGACCAAGGTTTTTCACTACTATTTGGGGGTTTTCATTTATTTTGTTTTGTTACATCATAGCATGCTATCTGTCCAAGCACTTAAGAAAGGGGAAGAAAGGATTAAGGCTTAACAAGCACATTCATGTTGAAAAAGTCATAGATGTTTCCTTTTTTGTCAGAAAAGAGATTTTGACCTCATGAAGTATAATAGGATGAAGGTTCTTGTCCCATTTTTAGAAACACAGGTTTGAAAATCTGTATTCATGGTTTTCATGTAGTTTTCAGTACAGGTTTTGCAGTAGTAATACATTCTCTGACTGAAATGCCTAAATATCATACCTGTTCAGAATAATCTTGAGATGCAGAGGTCAAAAGGAGGTGGCTTTCCAGACCTTTTAGCTAAAGCTGTAACTGGAGTTTGGGAGTGACAACTTGAATAGTCCCCTGAAATTGATAGGTTGGGAAATATGGTGGGCAGCATCAAACTCTTAAAGAACTGAAAGATTTGAGGATTGTGAGCAATGATAACCAATCTTAGCCTTACGTCCTAAGGACTTTGCCAAAAACAAAGTCACTGTGCAAATTCTTAGAGGCTTTCAGAAAACGGTGTATCAGTATCCACTTGTTCCTCTACTTTACTAATCTCGTTTAATCTGCCCCCACCCACCCCTTTCTGTCCCTACTGGCCTTACCCTAGACCCGGCCCCAGTCATCTCACATGTAGACCATTGCACCTGCCCTCACTGTCTTTCTTCTCTTGTTCTCCCTCTTCTTTTGCCAAGCTAATCTTCCTAAAATGGCTGTTTTCATGTGCTGCTGATCTGTTAAAAATGCTGAATGGCTCCTGAGTGGCTGTCCCCAGTCTGCCTTCATCTGCATCTGTGGTCCTTGCTCCTTCTGCTCCCTTCTTTTTTGCCAGTCTAAACTGTTCATGCTCCTTAGTCGCATAAAGCACATTAGTGCAGTAGGTGAGGGTGTGCTCTGAGCAGTCAGGCAGCCTGAGCCCAAATCCTGCCCATCCAGCGTTGTTACCTCAGGTAAATTAAGTGACTCCTCTGGCCTCCCTTTTCTCATCTGTTAAGGGGGTCAATAAGGTTTTGTAAGGATTACATGAAATGTTATAGGTAAAAGTGCACGGGGCAGTGTCTGGCACTTAGTAAGTACTGTTAGCTACTTATACCATCATTGTTATTATCACACTTGCCTCTGTGCTTTGTTCCTGTTATTAATTCCACTTATCTAATTCCTTTACTTCCTCTAAGGCCCCCACAGTATCTCATCTCCCCTTCCCTGACAGCGCTTGCTCGTAATCTGTCTTGTCCCATGTTTTCAGCTTTCTTTGCGTTATCAGTGCCAAGCATAGTGCTGGTCCAGACACAGTGGCATCCTCAATGCCTCCGTCCCTTTAAGCACACTCCCACCTCAGGGCCTTTGTGCTGACTGTTTTCTGCTTGGAATGCTCTTCCCCCAGGTGGTCCATGGCTTCTCCTTCATTCAGATCTCTGCTTTGTTCATCAAAGACCCTCCCTGACTGTGCTGTTTAAAATAGTATCTTTCTTCACCTTATGTATATTAACCTGCTGGCTTTTTTTCATACCATTTATCATTATCAGCCAATTATAATTATTTTCTCACTATCCTCAATTGGACTCTAAGATTCATGAGTATGAACTTCGTTTTATCTACAGCATTATATCCCCTAGAACCTAGAAAAGTGCTTGGCATGTAGTAGGAGTTCAAACGTGTTTCTTTCATAAATGAATGCTAATGACAATCTTACATTTGTATAGGGAGATTTACAGTTTGCTTTCACATACATTCTCTTCCTTGCTTCCTACCAACAGTGATGGAAATATTATCAGCTTCTCTTTGCAAATGAGAAATCAAGCAAAAGAGGCCTAAAGGCTTGGCCAAGGTCAAACATCTTATATAGTCTCTGAGGTCTTCTGCTCCCTAAGCCCAGTGTCGTTGCCACACACTATTCTTTTGTGTTAAGTGCTTTGGTGGTGGTGGTGGTGACGGAGGGCAGCAACAGCGGCCAGCTTGGCCTTGGAGGATTTCACAGGAGTTACAAACCACAGGGATAGACTGAGGGGGTTGGAGAATGCAGCACCTGCTACAGTGGCTGTGCCAAGTGATTTCACCTTCCTAATCTTGTTTGATCCTCCCAGCAAACTTGCATAGTATCCAGAGCAGGGGTTACTGTTCTTATCGGGCCAACAATGTGCCTCATCTTTGTTCTCTCCTCTGTCTATTTTATCCTCTCCTTTGTCTTTTTGCTTCTCCCCAACAGTGATTTAGTTCCTATATCTACCTTGTTTGTGTTTTGATGTGAATTAACTTTTAAGTTTTCTACATGTACATTCCAGCATTAGAAGTGTAGAAACTGACTGGGAAAGGGAGTGCACACATACATGGTATCACATGAGCCCTGTAAGCTGCATGAGGTCAGGGAGGGAGATTGTTTCTGAATGACACTGAATAAGTAATTTCATCAGCAACATTTAAGGGTCACTGGTGTGTGTACAGTACCAGACTAGGTGTCATGGGAGATACATAGGCATACTACAGTGTCTTGCCCTCGAAGCTTTTGCACTCTACTTGGCAAGGCAAGCATGAATATGTAAGAAGTAAAATACCAACCCACATTAGAAGAAATGTTGCAGAATTCTAAATGATTATTAGTGATTATTATTATAGACCAAAGGTTGGCAAACTTTTCTTTTCTTTCTTTTTTTTTTCTTGGTGATTGACCAGTACAGGGATCAAACCCTGGACCTTGGGGCAAACATTTTCTGCAAAGGGCCAGATACTAAATATTTTAGGCTTGTTGGCCATACAGTCTCTGTCACAACTTCTCAACTCTGCTGTTGAAACTCAAAAGCAACCGTGGAGTATACGATAAGTAACCAACGGGCATGGCTTGATTTGGCCTGAAGGCCTTTGCCTACCCTTCCTCCAGTAAGTTCTGTAGATTTTGTAGTTGGTTGTGGAAGGTTTTACTGAGGAGTTGGGAATTGAGCAAGGTCTTTAATACCAGCTAGGATTTGACTAGTGGAGAGTAAACAATTGAATAAAAGGACAAATTAGGTGACATGAGGAATGCTTAGGAGACATTGGACAAACCAGCCTGGTGAGTGTTTACACACTTGGCTCCTCATTGACTAGATGTCTTTTATAAGGGTATTTCTGAACATAAAGAACTAAGCTTGTATCCAATGCTCTGGGCAAGTATAAAGTCACCACCCCAACTGCAGTTGGAGAGTGGGGATGGGGGGCCTTGAGTAATTGCTCTGCTTCCAAGCTGCTTCCTGCCCTGGTAGAAATGTAATTACTTGTCCTCTTAGGTTCACTGCCAGATCTACCACCTATTAGCTGTGTGACATTTAGCAAGTGACTTACTCTGTGCCCATAAAACAGGGATAATAATGATGTCGTTATGAGTATTTAATGGGATAATCCATGTAAAGTGCTGAGTACAGAAGAACTAGCAATAGTAAAAGCTCAGTAAGTGATGGCTGTTATTTTTATAACCTCTAAATTAGATTGAAGACATTTGTGTTGCTTTGTTGCAATTATTTTAGATTCCTAAAGTGAGTATATGCTGAAGATAACTCGACTATTTCACTTTGTATAAATCGATTAAACTGATGAGCTTTTTAAAAAGATTTAGAAGGTGGGAATATTTTTCTGCGTTAGTCTTATCTCAAGGGAACAAATCTCTCCTAATCATTCTTAATTCATAATTCTTTGATTAAGAATTCTTAATCATAAGAGCATGTCTGCTCAGGTTGATGGCCATAGTCAGACTGCCTGTGTGGCTGAGAATCCCAAGGTAAAAATTTTAGATTAAAATGATTCCAGGTTTGTAGTGCCCCCAGGTGCACCAGCAAATCCACTCTGAAAGAACAGACTTTAAACCCAGGTCTCAAAGACTTCCTACAGGGCCGGCCCGGTGGCGCACTGGAGAGTCCGCCACTTGGGAGCGCAGCAGCACTCCCGCCGAGGGTTCGGATCCCATGTGGAGACCGGTTCCCGCTCACTGGCTGAGTGTGGTGCGGGCGCGACACCGAGGGTTGCGATCCTGTTGCCGGTCCCCGGTATGGGCGCGACACCGAGGGTTGCGATCCCGTTACCGGTCAGTAAAAAAGACAAAAAGGAAAAAAAAAAAAAAGACTTCCTACAGACGAACTTCCAACGAATATGAGTTAATAACAAGAGCAAAACCCCTCACTATTATACTGTGAATGAAGGTCAGTAGGAATAAGAAATAATAAACTGCAGAATCGGTTTGCCGCAGAGACTTCAGATGTTGGACTTAGCAGATAAAGACTATAAAATATACTTAATGTAATTTTTAAAAGAATTAAAAACATGGAAGAAGAGATAATTGTAATTGACCAAATATTTTTTAAAGAGTCGGTAATAGTAGTAGGGCCTGGGTATTGGGTGGCTCCTGGTCTTGCATCTGAAAGAGCAGTGCTCTTTCACATGCAGACACACACACACAGAGTTTTCTGAGTATTTCTATTTTTTTGGTTTGTTCCATTCAACAAACATTTTCTGTACCAAGCACTATGTTAGGCACTGGGTAGAGAAGACTACAGATATGGTTAAGAGATGATGCTTGTCTTTAAGGAGCTTATAGTCTACTCTTGCCTTTGTTTTCCAAAGGTGATCAGTCTTTGGAAGGCTGAAGACAAAAGACAATGGAGACTTCAGTCTTATTGGCCTAACAAGATTTTTTGGCTGCCATTTTACTGCCCACGCATAGCCAGGTCTGTCCACCAGCATACCAGTCAGCTCAATTCACCTGTACCAAAAATTAATTAGTACATCTCGAATACATAGTGCCCACTATTTTAGAGTTGTTACTTCATTGGTAGACTTTTTTGATAACAGGGATTTCTTTAGTTTTTGGTCTTTGTAAGCTCCCTGCTACCTAGAACTTCTAACTCACTGCCCAAAGAATTCATTTAAAAAATTAGGATAATACTTGACCAGAGAAACTGCCTCAGGCATTTTATCATTTAAGTAAAATATTAAAAAATATTAATTCTTAAAATCATAACCCAGTGTAGTAAAGACATTGATATATGTACTCATAGATCCAAGTGAAATAATCAGCATCATGGAAGAATGAAATACTGAAAGAAAATGGGAGAGTGACATTGGTCTCAGTGGGGGACTGAGGAAGCCTTCAAAAAGGAGGTGGCATTTGAACTAGGTTTTGAAAAGTGACTGGGATTTCGATAGTTGGAAAAGAGGTGGGGATCATGGGGAGCATCCTTGAATGAAAGAAGAGCAATAACAAAGGAACAGAGGCATGAAAGTATGAGGACTGTTTCTGCAGAGGTGAGAAGTGTCTCTGGAAACCTAGAAAAATGGGACTTCCCCCACTATGGAGTTTCCTCACCACCCTCATTTTACCCTGTTACTGTGCATTTCATTTTATTCCACTCGGGATGCCCCCTGTTGAGATACTTGAAGGGGAATAACTTCCCCGTGCACATTAATGAGATTGTCTGAAATAAAACATTTTATTTATGTGACTGTGAAACCAAATTTTCACATGCATTACTAAATGGTATCTTGAATGGGTGGTTGGGGAATGTTTTTCAGGTTGAAAATATCCTCTTACATGACCGAGGCCACTATGTCTTGTGTGACTTCGGAAGCGCCACCAACAAATTCCAGAATCCACAAACTGAGGGAGTCAATGCAGTAGAAGATGAGATTAAGAAGTAAGCTTTTCCTCCTTTCTTGGAGTTTTGTCCATTAACAAGTCTACTTTCAATTTATGGATGAGAAGGTCAGGGCGGGGAGAGAATGGTGCTAGTCAGTTGTCCTTCACCTGAGAGCATTATATTCACAGTTGGGTTGTTTGACTTTAAGTGAAGGATAAGGACAGCATTCACAAGCATTGATCACAAGGAATCTACATAGTACTTTATCAATTTCTTATGATCATTGTATACAGTTATTTTGATTTATGACATCATAAAAAGCTTATAGCCCATAAAAAGCTCAGTGATATACACACCATAAAAGTACTGTGATGTTTTTAAGTGTGATCACAACCATGACATTGTCAGTCAGACAGATGTGCATTTTACTGAAACCTTAATTGCTGCTTCCTTCCTGCTTATAAGGAGTTCACCTGCAGCCTGGTGGAATTAATGGTGAGTAGGATTACTGAAGTCTACAGATATTGAATCACTGACTTCTATGAGAAAAAGCTTCTTTAGATTTGTGACTCCAGTAAAAGCCTGACCCATTTTCCCCTCTTGTCCACAGTGTTGGGTTTTTCACAGGCAACAGCACTTACTATTACTACTAATAAATCAGTAGTCTAGCCTGCACACTTATATCCTGATCCTCTCTCTCCTTTCGTGCATCACCCCAGGCAGCCAAGCCTGGGCAAGAAGAATTCTGGTCCAAGGCCGTGATGGACATTTAAACCAGTCCCATCTGGGATCCATAGACAGACAGCACAAATCACGTGCTTGGTAACACCGAGACACTCACTTTGCGGATGTGCTTTACACTACTCTTTTCTTGAGCCAGAGATAAGAAAAAAGCTGTTGTTTCAGCCCTATTCCAGGAGCAAAGAGCAAGGGCTCTTGATCCCATCAACCTCTCACCCCAGCCCAGGGCCCACTTTCTAAGGTTCACAGCCAGTACTGCATGTGCTTTAAATATGTTGAGCCACATTCAAAGGGTTTACTATTTTAAAAAACAAATCAGCAAAATATATCAGACAAGGATTTATAGAAGATTTTATCATTTGAGGACCCATGAAAAGTTGCTTTTGTAGTTTATTTAGTGCATTAGTGTCTGGGTCCCCACATGACCTTAGATTAGAAGGACTGCTGCTAGAGGGCCATGGTGTGTTGATATAATTGTACCAAGGACAGCCTTTCATTTTATCTGCACTAATGTTTTCTACTCTCTTCTGCAGATTGCTCCCAGGAAATTGGATTCTATTAATCTAAAAATAAAAGTATTTCTGCTGCTCCTGGCTTTTAATTATAGCATTGACATATTTAACAAAAAATGAATCTCTTGATTGTAGATACACAACACTGTCCTATCGAGCACCAGAAATGGTCAACCTGTACAGTGGCAAAATCATCACAACGAAGGCAGATATTTGGGTAGGTGTCAACTAACCTATCCACACCTCAGATATCAACAGTCTTGATTGTAAACTCCCAAGTTTAATGCAGACAATTCTATAGCACAATGGTTGCTGTACCATGTCACTGTTTACTTATCCCTCAGGGTTGTTCTTGATGTGAGGGGACCAGCCATTGCTTCTTAAAGCATGACAAAGAGTATTACTCTAGAGCTCTGTGAAAATTATTCAGGTGGTTTTCACAAATATATTACTAGTTCTTAAGAGAAAAACAGGTAAACTACTTGCTCTTTACAAGAGCATGATTTGATAATAATGGTAGAAATACTATAATTCGGCTGATATTATCATTGGGTTCTAAATTTAAGTTTCTAAGAGATTAGTAATATGTAGTTTTTATCTGTTAGTAAACGTGGATGGGGTCGGTATCTCTCACTAGATCCATTTGCAGTTGTGTAAATAAACTAGTAGTAGCAGTTTGCTTTCTTTACTTTTTTAGGCTCTTGGATGTTTGTTGTATAAATTATGCTACTTCACTTTGCCATTTGGGGAGAGTCAGGTGGCAATTTGTGATGGAAATTTCACAATTCCTGATAACTCTCGATATTCTCAAGATATGCACTGCCTAATTAGTAAGTATTCCAAGTTTCTAGTTACATATTTTATCTCTAACACTAAGAATGAATTCGATTAAATTCAAGGAGCAATGGATTTGATGCATACATAAAGAATTAGTTGATAATGGTTGGGAATTTCAAGATAATGTAACATGTCTAGTTAGATTGGTAGATCTTTTTGCTGGAAATCTAAACTCTGTTTCACACCTAAGCCAGCTGCACAAGCAGAAATCCTAACTGTGCTTTGAGCCGTATAGTACTGCTGTGTTCTATTGCAGTCTGTATGAAAGCTCTGGTACCAAAAGGAATCCAGCTGACTCATACCAAGTGATAAAAAATTCATCTTTAAAAAAAAGAAAAGAAATTCATCTTTGCAAAACTGGAAGTAGCTCAAGTGAAATTGATTGCAGTGCATTGGCTGGAATGAATACATAATTAAGACTATATAATTCCATGGAACCAGGTTTTTCCCCTCATTTAGGTTAATCACTGGATTTTGATAACCAGAATCTAAACTCAGTGCTTTGTTTAAAATAATCTTAAGATTCCCCACTCTTTCAAATCATCATAGCAAGCATATGTACTGACATTCATTAACCAGATGGTAGAATAAGTAATCTTTGCACCAGCCCCTGTACTAAAATTCTAAAGAAACAGAAGATTTTTGTCATCTTTCCATATTGGTCAAGACATTTAGCATCTGAGTTTTAACCATTATACGTTATAAATCCTGAGCAACCCAGTTTGGGTACTGGGTGGGGATACACTGGAAAAAATAGAAGCAACAAATGTGGGGAGGAGCCTCTGACATTTGTTGGGTTCTACTTGTACCTCATTTAATTCTTAAAACTCTTTATATATTAAGCGTAATTATCTATCCCTCTTATGCAAATAATGAAATTGAAGCTGAGAAAGTATAGGTAACTTACCCAAATTAACATAGTCACAGCTTTTAAGTGACTGCCCAATCCATTCTGCCAGTTTTATCAATCAACTTCTTCCACTTATCAAAAAAGGTATGTAAAGAATGGCATTTAGTGATTGTTGGATTGTTTTCAGAGTTAAAGCATTATATCTACACTAGAATTGGAGCTATGTAACTGAGATTTGAAGGAACTATGGGAAAATGGCCAAATATGATTTTAGACAGGTAGGATTTTTTTGGTATTTTTTTTTTAACATTTGTGCAGTAAATTCACACTGGGAAAAACAACTCTTTATGAATGTCTATAACATTGACATCCTACCCAAACTATTTTAGTTTACAAACTATTTGAAGATTCTACTGTCACCTTAAACTCACAGGTCTAAAATAAAATTTATCAACATTGCACCACCTCCCCCCTTCACTTACTCCCAATATGAAGTGCCCCATCTTCTTTTCAGTTTTTCTCATGGTATCACCATTCAAGCTTAGATAAATGAAATTTAAGATTTTCTTATGGATCTAGCTAGCAAGAGAGAGCAAAGAATTAGCCATTTCGTAAGCTGCATTAATTCTCTTTTTGGAGTTTCTCCTGTTTGCAGTTCATTCTCTCTATTCTCATCACTGTCACCGTAGTATATATAGACCCTGCCAGCTAATGCCTGTACTATATTGGCCACAACCTTCTCTCCTGTCTTCAATCTATCCAACATGCCCTTACCTCAAGAGTAATCTTATGAAACATCACCCTCTCATGTTCCTGCTGAGAACTTCAGCGGCTTGCCAGTGTTCTCACAGTAGGGCCCAGATTCTCAGCATGGCATTTAAGGTCCTTCGTATTCTGGTTCCATCTCACTCACCCGTTCTCTCTCAACCCTGTCCTTCTGGTTCCTCTTGCCTTTCTTCAAGTTTTTCTTTGCTCAGGGTATTCTCTCACCCGGAATGTCTTTTCTCTGCTTTCCCACTGACTGCCCGCAAGGACTAGCTTAAGTCCTCGTGCAAGGCCTCACAAAGCTGCAGGCTCACTGATCTTTTCTGAACTTGGTGTCCAAATTGTTCATTTTATTACTAAAGCAATAAACTGCCTTGCATTGTCATTTGTATATATATGTGTGGGTTTGTGTTTTCTTAAGGATTTTTTTTTTCCTGAGGATTTTTCCAGCTTCAAAGATGGCAAGAAGCTTAAAAGACCTGGAAATAGACAGGTGATCTAGAGATCACAGTAAAAGTAGATATGTGTATGTTACTTTGTAATGTCTTTTAAAACTGGCAACCAGCTAGTATCTCTAGGCAAAGAATAATTAAATTCATGAAGTTTGGGTTTTGGTTATAATTGTTAAGAATAATCATTTGTTTAGCAAGATAGTATGAACCAAGGAAGCCAGAAATAAGACCGTGTAACCTCCTGGGTATAGAATATGAAGGTGGTAACTTTCACGTTGAGAGCCTGAGTATCTGTTGTGCAAGGCACAGAATATGAACTTCAAGTATCTTGTTTACAAACTCAAATACTTTATTTTCTTGTGGATATTAAATATTTAGGAAAATTAGAGCTTCTCCTTTCTGAGAGGGGAGGAAAAAGGATAATTGTTCTGTCTGACTTTTTTGAGAAAAAAATTTAAAAACAACAAAACTTTGGTAGTAGAGAGAGGAAAAATTATGCTTCCTAGCTAATGTAGTAACTGTTAGGCTGTTATTAAATATGTTCACGTATGTTTGTCTTAGGGTATATGTTGGAACCAGACCCTGACAAAAGGCCAGATATTTACCAGGTCTCCTACTTCTCATTTAAACTACTCAAGAAAGAATGCCCGATCCCAAATGTACAGGTACGTGAATGGTGCTTTTTAGGGGAAGTAAACATTATCAAATTGCCATTTAGAGTTCCTGGGGTATTAATCAGCTGTTTAAATGAATGCAGATGTCCTGTGCTTTATCTACTAGAGGGCATTCAAGCAAAGCTAACTATGAAGAAATTGCTATAAAGAGAATTCCATTTCCCCATGGCATTTAATTATAAAACTGAGGCAACTACACTGAACAAAAGATATACCCTATGGATTGAGTTGAAAATTTGGGGTGAAGATTGACCAACTTCATGTCAGCTTTCACAGTTCACCAAGAGTAACATGCCTATTGTATTTAGAGGTGGTTAGGCAGGCTGCTTTCCTGAGGCAAGGCGCTGGACTTGCACCTATGCCTTTTGGAACTTAAGTTCCTTGTCCCTGTTTTCCTTCCTCACAGTGGAGCTTTCTTGATTTTGCTTCTGAGCTTGGCATCTGTAACTCACACTCCTTTTTCTCTACCCTCCCCACACACATCAGGCCATAAAATGTTTTCTACACCTAGTAATCCTAAACTCCACACTCAGTTTTCAGTGTAAAATGCTTACAAACACCCTTTTTACAATCTTGGCATATTTTTCATGTCACATTGTGATCCAATTCTCTTGTATATTTCACTAACCGGTGCTATAATAAATAGATTCCAATCTGAAATTTTCTTCCTAGTTTCTCCAAAAATGAAGTTTCAGTGTCACTACTTGCGCTTAAGAGTGCTGTTAAATAATACTTCTCTTTTACTCCCACGTTTGGAATCAGTTGCAGGACACTTTCAAGCAGAGCTCAGAATATTGGCTTTATTACTAATAGGGTTGTGTCAGAGGACAGAGCTTGACCGGTCAGGCTCCCTAACATTAGATCCGCATGACTGAGGTGTCACAGCCTGATTCCTGTGGGACAGGTTCTTATATGACTAAGGGAGGGTAGGGGCAAACCAGATGAGCTCACTTTTTCTCCCAGTCTTATCAGTCAAATAAGTTACTCTTGGCTGGGAGAGGGATGCTTGAAGGGTGGAGGAGAAGCTCAAACAATGTTTTTAGCAGAAATTCCCCCCACCTGAACACATGAAGGAAATGAGAGTACCCTCCTAAAAAGCCAGTTTTACAACTAGTATTTTGTCAGGTTTTCCAGGTTGAAACGAGGGATACCATACAGTAGCATCACATGACTGTGTTTTCTTTTGCAGGCCCACTTTTCCATTCATAAAGTTAAATAATGTGAAATATAATTGGAAGCATTCGAATTGGTAACTAGTTTTACAAAAGTAGACTTTGTAAGTCCCATGTCATTTGGTGAGCAGTTGTTTCATGATTGGCAGCAGCTAGCTGGTCCTCCCTCGAGAGGTGATATGAGATAGATGGTGCAGAATCCAAGCTAGAGGAACTCTGCTTGGCTTGTGGATTGAGTAGTGCTGCACACTTTTGGGAAGGGGTGCTGGCTTGGCAGCCAAACATTCTGGGTTGCTGTAGTTTCCTCCCAGCATTCTTAACTAGAAGACTGAATGCACCCTGGTTGGCACAGTAGTCAGCTCTAACTTCTCCAAGATCTGGCTGGGAGTTTGTATATAATATAAGTGATAGAAATCTCATTCCCATTCCTTTCGTAACATCATACCTGAGCTGTGCTGTAGGAGGAGAAAGATACTGAAATCAAGTCACTGTGAACTTAGCCTGATACAGAGATGGAGAATGATCAGTGAGAGTGTGCTGCGTGCAGGCAGCTCTCTCTTCTTCTTATATATGTTGCTTCCCTGACCGTGGCTGAATCTGATATGCATTTGGTTAACTTCCCTTTCCTCTACTAGACAGAGATCCAGGCCTGAAAGCCACTCCCGAAGATCCCAAAATGTATTTCCATCAGCCCCAGTTAGGCTGGCTATTCTTTTAAGGAGGAATTTGTGATGTCCTTTTTTTTCTTTTCTTTCAATTCCGTAGAACTCTCCTATTCCTGCAAAGCTTCCTGAACCAGTGAAAGCCAGTGAAGCAGCTGCAAAAAAGACCCAGCCAAAGGCCAGGTAAGAAATGCCTTAGTATCCTCAGGTTGCTGCATCAGCAGGGGAGGATGCCTTGTGTTTCTTGATTCTTATTTTGCCTTGACTGGAGGCTGCCCAGATCAGGAAAGTAGGCTCTGACTCCCCCAGGCAGAAGCTGTTCTTTGGGAATGCAAAGAGGAGTATAATGAAATACCGTGATCTGCATTCAAAAGATAATCAAGAACTCTACAGCTGTTTCCTTTGATGCGGCCTTCAGAGATGAGTCAACCACAGACTTTAAATGTTGCCACTATAAGAGAGTCCTAAACATGTGTCCTGGCATTTGGTTATCCTAGCTCACCACCCTAATCCTCCACTTCCCTTTCTTTCTGACTTTCTATGGCTCCAGCCACATTAGGAAAGTACAAGTCAAAGCACTAGGTTCATGAACAGCAGAAGACCCTGTGGGTCATAGCTAATCACATTCTGGGCAACCTAGGGTCTTCCAGGAAGTAGATGCCAAGAGAGGATTAGCCAAGCAAAGATATTATTTGGGGAAATGCCTATGTGAGAGAAAACAGGGAGGGAGCCAGGAAAGGCTGGGAGAGCCATCAGAAGGAGATGCAAGTCTGACCCAGAGAGAGGGAAAGAAGGATGGGTGGAAGTAACTGCCACACGGTTTAAATAAGGCTCGCCAAAGATGTCAGGGAGTCTTCGCACTAAAGTCTAACAGCAGAAAAATCCCCTATGTTCCAGGAATTTCTGTGGCTGGGATATGAGGGATGGGAGCAACCTACAGGAAGCATGGCCTCAAGGCAAACAGGGCAGTGGATTTGGGGAGCGCAGCTGCTGGACCATTGGTCTTTTACATCCCATGTAGATGAAGGTCTACAAGGCACATTTTCATAGCTTCCACACTTTCAAATGTCACATTCTGGAGGTAGCCCAGGAGATGTTTATACCCCTCTTTTTTCTATCACCCTCAAATGGCGAGGAAATGTTAGCAGCAAACTATGTCAACTAAGTACCTAGATAGGAGTATGTGAATTTTAATAGAACAGTAAAATAACTTCTATATTTAAAAAATTCTTGAATATTTATAGAATGCCTGCTGTGTGCATAGTTATTCCAGATGTGGCTTAAAGTAACGAGACTTTGTTTTTTAACAAACTTAGCAAACTTTCTTAACAAACAAGCAAAACTTGTTGCTTTGTTGTCTGTCGATTTCTTACAGTAATTCTGCCATGCTCACCTCTTTGAGAATTGGTTTTGGAGCTGATCTAATTAGCTTACTCTTTGGGTTTATGGCCTCCTTTTACTAGGCCCAAACCTGGTATATACAGAAGCTAAGCAAGGACCCCTTTCCCCATTCCCACAAAGCACAGGCATTCAGGTCTATACAAACTAACATTTTGGACACTACAATTTATAGAATGGTTTCACAGTTACTGATAACATTTGATGTTCACATCTGCCTTATGATATAGGCATTTGTATGTTTCTACATTTTACACATGGGGGACCCAAGATATAAAGAGGTTAAATGACATGCCCATTATCACACGATCAGTTAATGGGGAGCTAGAGCTCAAATATAATCTTCTTTTACTTCAAATCCCTTTGTTTCTAAGATGCTCTCCTCAGAAGGAGACAGTTGGAGGTTCCTGCATTTGGATTTCTATAGGAGACTGTTCACTTCCCTCACCCTTGGCCTTTTCTTTCTTACATCTTTGTCCTCTACTCCAACATCTGTCCCACTTTTTCTTTTAACCTCCCTTCCCCAGGTTACAGCCTCCCCAAATGTGATAGCTTTTGTATTACCAGTTCTCCACCCAGCACAAGAGCATCTCTCTAACAGGATGCCAGTGAAAAGTTTCTGGGTCCAGCTTGGACACACGTTGGAGTTATGACATGGGGCCAGCTACTTGGCCTTAACATCAGTTATACTCCCTGAAGTGCAGTTTCAGAGGACAGTCATCTGATCTGTGTTAGGTAGTAGCCAGCTGCCTGGGCTGTTATACGTGAATGGAAGTTAGTACCTGGGCTTTTGCACCATTGCAAAGAGCAAGCAGAGCACACAGCAGTCCTCCCTGTATTAGTTTGGATTAGATTTGGCTGTAAGTTACAGGAAGTCCAAAATGACTGACACTGGCTTATAGGAGATAGAATTTTTTTTTTTTTTTTTTTTTCTTTCTCAAGTAAACAAAGTCTGGAGGTAAGTAGTCCAGGGCTGGTATGACAGTTCTGCTCCACGAAGCCCGTAGGGACCTAGGTTTCTTCAAGGTTACCCTTCTCCCATTCCTACAGTATAGCCATGACCTCATGGATCAGTATGGCAGCATCCTTGTTCCAAGCAGAAGGATCAAGAAATAGCCAAAGAAGAAAAGAGACAAAGGGCATGAACCAGTTATTTCTTAAGTTTTCTAAAAACTGCCACGCAATAAACTGCTGACAGCCCATGTAAGGCTAGAACTTAGACAGATGGCCATGCCTGGTTGCAAAAGAGGGTGATCCTATATGCCCAACTAAAAATTTTATTACTGTGGAAAAAAGAGAATACATGTATTGGAGGAAATGGAATTCCTTTCACACTCCCCATTTTAAAATCCTTTGTCTTGAATTATTTACTTATTCCTTCTAGTGTCCATGTTGGATTCACTCATTTGCATGCTTTTTATTGTAGAGGTACCATTTTCATAGCTGATTCTAACCAAATTTGAGTTTCCTCTGTCTGAAAACAACCTGCCTCAAACTCCTCTTCACATCATTACCCAAAATGTATTCTGTGAAAATCTAGAGGTTATTGGGTAAAAGGGTCCTAAGATCAAATAAGCCTGAGGAACACTGCATTCTACATAGCGTTCTTTTTGAGATTTTCCGTACACACTCACACGTGAAAGGCTCTGCTGGAAAGGAATCTGCTCAGTATATTTTGATCAGTGTTAAAAACATATTTGCCCACCAAGTGCCTTTTTCCAGAACATTTAGTAACACTGTAATATCCTGGGGACCATCCTTTGGGAAGTGTTGACTAAACAGATCTGGGAGGTTTGGATGAATGTTGACAGCAAAGCATCATGTGCTCTGCCCACCTCTTTTCCATTTTCCCTTTAACATGAATCTTTTCTTTCTTTTCCTTTTCTAGACTGACAGATCCCATTCCTACCACAGAGACTTCAATTGCACCCCGCCAGAGGCCTAAAGCTGGACAGACTCAGCCAAACCCAGGAATCCTTCCAATCCAGCCAGCCCTGACACCTCGGAAGAGGGCCACGGTTCAGCCCCCTCTTCAGGCTGCAGGTCAGTAACTAGTGTAGATTGATTTGAAACTTGATATACCTCTTTGGTGTCCTAGACAATAGAGATGTCTTAGAAAGCCTGGTTTTGCTTCCTTGAAGAATAGGAGGTAAGCTGCAGTTGAAATTGTATGGCAAGTAGCTGGCAAAAGGGAAAACCTCTCGTTGAATTCTGAGATGGATCTCCATGACCCCTGAAGCCGGTTGTCTCTATTTTTTCTATCCTTGGCCCTGATTTTGTGGTGTGGTCCATTTATCTCTTACCTACCTCTTTAACTCATATAGCTCTCTTTGCCTTTAAAAGAAATGACTCACCTCTTTTTGACACTCACAGGGGAATATTGCTTCTTTAATGCTTTGTCTCTTGAAGCACTCTTATATCTATCGCCCCTCCATGTTTTGGTATTCTGTTTCTAATGAGATGAGTGAGCTTTATTTTATAAAGAGGATTGATCCAAAATATGAAATAACTGAACACAGCCATTACTTCCCCTACCAGGAAGCTGCCTTTGGTGAATTTGTGGCCATCTACTTGTAGCCAGGCATCCAGACTGAGAGGTTGTGTAAGCTACACGTAAAACATGGAAGAATGCTTTTGCCATGCAGCATGCCAGCAAGTGCAAGGATTGTGTTTATGTACAGTAGCATCAAAGGCCACTTGAATATGTAGATACTCAGGGTGCTGACTAAAGGAGTAATTGACTAAATGGGATGATGGATAAGGGAAGACTTTCTGAAGGAGGCAAGTATTGAACCTTGTTTTGAAAAATTTGAAGCATATGGCTTAGCAAGAAGATGGAAACACATTCCAGGTGGGACAGAGCATGTGGAAAGACAGTGGGGAGCACATGGATTTGGGATAATTTGCCCACTTATCACCCCCTCTTCATTGCTTTGACAAGACAGATAGCTGTTTTTGTCTGAAAGAGTTTTGAACTCACTCTTACTCTTTATACTCTTTGCAGGACCCAGCAATCAACCTGGCCTTTTAGCCAGTGTTCCCCAACCAAAAACCCAAGCCCCACCCACCCAGCCTCTGCTGCAATCTCAGCCCAAGCAGCCACAGGCTCCGCCTACCCCACAGCAGACGCCTTCCACTCAGGCCCAGGGTCTGCCCACTCAGGCCCAGGCCACACCCCAGCACCAGCAGCAACTCTTTCTTAAGCAGCAGCAGCAACAGCAGCCATCACCACAACCACAGCAGCCAGCAGGCACGTTTTACCAGCAGCAGCAACAGCAGGTGCAGACTCAGCAGGTAAGATGGTCAAAGTATGACCCTTGCTTTGCATATCTGAGTCACGACTGTGAAAAGGCCCACTAGGTAAAGGTAAGTTCTTTGGGAAGCACTGGGAAGATAGAAAGCCACTAACCATTACATCATTGTTTCTCATAGATGTAGATGCTAGAGCATCGAGAAGTGGATCGATTACTTGGACTCCTTTCACTTTTCTTCTTAGGCCATGGAGAATTGATCACTTGGTTGATGAACCTCAGTGAAGGAACTATTTTTTAAGGACTTTTTTCCCCCTTCTATTTCTAACATAAGTATGACACCATTATCATACTGGGGAAAAAGTAACAGTAATTTCTTATTATCATCACATATTCAATAACTGTTTCTCATCTCATAATTCAAATTGGCTTGCTTCGGTCAGGATCCAAATGACGTCCACATATAGTATTTAGTCAGTATATATTGTTTTCCATTATCTTTTCATATATATTTTTCACAGTTTTTACTATGATCACAATTCATTTTACAATGACTGATATGTCTTTGTTTTTTTTTTGTTTGTTTGAGAGGTCTGGAGACTCAGCCGCTCTCAGATCCCTGTAGGTTCATTCTTTCCCCCCTCTCAAGGAGGTCACTAGGCTCCTGGACTTTGGGTCTTTTGAGTTAAAAAGTTCTCCAGGACTGAATCAGACAGGCTCTCCCCAGCTGGACAAAGTCTCCAGGAACCTGGAGACACCAGGATGCTTTTTTTTTTTTTATTTAAAAAGATGACCAGTAAGGGGATCTTAACCCTTGGCTTGGTGGTGTTAGCACCACGCTCACCCAGTGAGCGAACCGGTCATCCCTATATAGGATCCGAACCCGTGGCCTTGGTGTTACCAGCACCGTACTCTCCCAAGTGAGCCACGGGCCAGCCCGACTGATATATCTTTGAAGTCCTTTTTTATCCATAGGTTCCCTCCCTCCTTTTTTCCCCTTTGCCATTAATTTTTTTGAAGAAACTGGGTTATATGTCCTGTCGAATTTTCCACATGCTAGATTTAGCTGATTGAATCCCTGTGGTGTCATTTGATATGTTCCTCCATCCTTTGTGTAAACTGTTAATTTCTTGAGGCTTGCTCAGTATTTGACTCAGCTTGACAGTTCTTTGTTCTTCCTGTTGTATAACATCAGGAGGCCTATAATGTCTAATTTTCCTCTCTTTTATTAAGATCAGGCAATGTGTTTAGGTTATCTGTCTGATCTGTTTGTTTAATATTGCCCATTAGCTTCACAGCCATTGCCGATGATTTCCTAAATCTGTTAATTTGTCAGGGATGGCAAAACGATATTTTAGCATTCTGTCTTCATTTAGGGGCTGCAGTTTTGCTATGACGAACTTTCCTCATCAACTATTTTAGTTACCCTGAGGTACTGTTTGCACAGAAAAGGCAAGAAAAATGCTTGCTTCTTTCCCTTTGTTTACCAGTTTTCAGAATAATGAATTTGTTCCGTACTATCATCCAGAGGTGAGCAGTGAACTTTTGTTTAGTATCATTATGAATTTACGGATTTTAACATATTTGATATCTTTCAATATATTACAGTTTTTAAAAATTTATTTATTTTGATGCTAAAATTGTTCTAACTTTGGCCAGTGAAAGTTTGTCGTAGTCCATTTTCTGCTGCTGTAATAGAATACCACAGACTGGGTAATTTATAAAGAAAAGAGCTTTATTTGACCCATGGTTCTGAAAGGTGGGAAGTTCAAGATCGAGGGGCTAAGGTTGCATCTGGTAAGGGGCTTCTTGTTGCACCGTAACATGGCAGAAGGCATCACGTGGCAAGGAAACTTGTGTGTGACAGAGGAAAGGGGCCAAACTTATCAGGAGTCTTTTCTCTCAATAACTAACACTAACCTGCACCTGTTATTACAGCATTAATCCATTCAAGAGGGCAGAGCCCTCATGATCTAATCACCTCTTAAGTGTCCTGCCTCTCAGTACAGTCACAATGGAAATTATATTTCAACATGAGTTTTGGAAGGGATATAGCAAATCTCTTCAGATTGGTTCCTGGGTACTTTGGTTGTGACCCCTGTAGTTTTTATTAACAAGCTCTTCCAGGATCATTCTGTTCTTGACCTGGAATCATCCATTTCTCTAAGGAGCTATGTTTCTTTTTAATGAAAATATTTAGAAACTGCAGTTTGGGTGCTAATGGGTTGGGTCACTTGCTAATGGGTTGGTTGTTGTTTCTAGGCCTTTTCAGTGGATAGTTAGAAAATTTGTTTTGTTTTGTTTCTTTAGAGAATATTCGTTATGAATTCAGATTTATATTCCTGATTCAGATTTGTAATTACAGGATTTTTGTTTAACTTCTTGGATTTGGTTGTAGTTTTCTCATCTGAAAAATCTTGATTTCTAACAGTATTAACATAGTTAATTAATTTATTTATAGTTTCAGGATAATAATACCAATATGATACTGAACACAATTTAAGACTTCTTTGCCCTTTTTACTCTTAGAAAGTTTCGCAGGGGCTGGCCAGTTAGCTCACTTGGTTAGAACATAGTGCTTGAGGGCCGGCCCGGTGGCGCACTGGAGAGTGCGCCGCTTGGGAGTGCAGCAGCGCTCCCGCCGAGGGTTCGGATCCCATGTGGAGACCGGTTCCCGCTCACTGGCTGAGCGCGGTGCGGGCGCAACACCAAGGGTTGCGATCCCATTACCGGTCAGTAAAAAAAGACAAAAGGGAAAAAAAAAAAAAAGAACATAGTGCTTGATAACACCAAAGTCAAGGGTTTGGATCCCCATACCGGTTAGCAGTTAAAAAAAAAAAGTTTAGCACATTATTTTCTGGGGAGTTTAGCTACCAATTTGCTACAAAGATTCATTTGTTTCATTTTGCTTTTGATTTTTAGTTATTGATTTTTAAATTTTGGTTTAATTTTGTGAATATGTAAAACATTTACATAGTTTCAAAGTTAAATCTGCAGAATTCTTTTCCTCCCTCCAACCCATATATAAAGGTGTCCCTCATTCCTATCTACAGCTTGAGAATGTTACACTTGATATATCCTTCAGGATATATCATAGTTTATTTAATCAGTCTGTTGATTGACATTTGGGTTGTTTCCAGCATTTTGCTGTTAAAAATAAGCAGCTATTTTTGATATTAGCTTCTTTGCTAACCCTTCAATTTTGCTCCCATAGTCAAATAATCCTCCCAATTAACTCAATAACTAAGTAACAGTATTTGGGATATACCAAGATGAGATCTTGACTTTTGTTCATCAGCAGCCCCTTATTTTGAGCTCTGTTTGTGTGCCTAGCACATAGTCCCTAGCATTGGGGATTAGAGAGACATATAAGAAGTGTCATAGGGTATACTGAATATTTTGAATATTTAAAGATGGCAGAGTTTAACAAAGATAGAACTACTGGGAAAGGCAAGTAATTTTCAGAAAGCCTTGAGTTGAATCTTAATAGATGGGTTAACATTTAGGTTATTCTTTCCAATGTCATCATTGCTTCTTCCTGTTCATCTAGGGAAACATTGTAATCTTGGCTACTTCAGATCCCTTAATGAGAGGGATTGCTCCTGGTTGGGAGACCATTTATTAACTTCTGTTACACTCCAGCTTGTGGAGTCACGTGATGTTTAGTCAGATAACTTCCTTCAGGCTAGGCCTAGAAACCTACTTAGAAGGCCAGTAGTGCAGGAGGTAGCCCAGTGGCTAGAGTCAGGCAGTGTAAGGTATTGCTGTGTTTATTTTAATGCCCTGAGGTTCCTACCATGAGTCTTCAGGCCTAGCTGAAAGACTTATACCTGCCCTTGCCTTTGGCTTCAGCACTAGTCTTCCTGGATATTGAGATATTTTGTGAGTGTGGTTCTGGGACAGGTTCTTACTCACCTCCTCATTTCTCACTACTTTCTTCTGCTCAGTTTCAGGCAGTACATCCAGCAACCCAGCAACCAGCGATTGCTCAGTTTCCTGTGGTGTCCCAAGGAGGCTCTCAACAGCAGCTGATACAGAACTTCTACCAGCAGCAGCAGCAGCAGCAGCAGCAGCAGCAGCAGCAGCAGCAGGCCACAGCCCTGCATCAGCAGCAGCTGATGACTCAGCAGGCTGCCTTGCAGCAAAAGACTGCTGTGGCAGCAGTACAGCAGCCCCAGGCGCAGCCGGCTACAGCCTCACAGCCATCCCCTGCCCAAGAGCCCGCGGTAAGAATCACCTGGGCCTCAGAGCATAAGAGCAGAAGAGGTGCGTGCAGTGAGGGCTCAGGAAGGGACAGGAAAGAGGTGGCTGCAGCTGATAAGGGGGCCTCTGAACTAGGGCTAGGTTGCTCACCCACCCTAGTGATTAAAATGTTACATCCTTTCTTGATATATTCAGGAACAGTATGAGGTATTCTATAGAAGGCAGAGGTGTTTTTTTTTGGTTTTTTTTTTTTTCCTTTTTGTCTTTTTTACTGACCGGCAACGGGATCGCAACCCTCGGTGTCGCACCCGCACCGCGCTCAACCAGTGAGCAGGAACCGGTCTCCACATGGGATCTGAACCCTCGGCGGGAGCGCCGCCACGCTCCCAAGCAGCGCACTCTCCAGTGCGCCACCGGGCCGGCCCGAAGGCATAGGTTTTTAATAAAATGATTCTAGGCTATGATGAAGAAGAATATTCTTATTTATCACTCTGAAATTAGACTGGCAGAAAGAGCTGTTCATTGTCTCTGTCATTGCCACTGTTGAACAGTGAAAGACCTAGGTAAGATTAGAGCTAATCTCTTTCCCTTCTTCAAGGAGCAGTTTGATCCATTGTCCCTTTTCCAGTCTCCAGTCTCTAGAGGTTTATGTGGGCCTCCACCTTTACTCTGAGCCCCGACAGAGTTGTGTTTATTTTTTGTCTAGGACGACATTACTAGTCACATCATTTAAGTCTACCACACAGCACCCTTCAAGAGCCTGCTTGCCTGGGACCATTTACCACGGCCTGATCTCTCTGGGCAACAGAGCATCTGAGCATCCAGTCATTTGAGCCATCTTGTCAATTTAGAAATTGGGCATGTCTACTTTTAGGTTTTGGCAGAGTACAGCATCAGAACCCCTCTTCTGATTGGCTTCTACAGTTTCAGCATGCTCAGGCACATTGTGCTTTGGCCTTTAATAAATGACCTTTATTTTGTACTCAGCTTTTTCTAAGTGATAGTAATAGAAAATTTTATAGTGATAGAAGAAGGCACTTTGCATACCCAGCCAATGGAGTGTCACAGCTACTCTCTTATTCCCAGGGAAGTCCAACTACTAGATGAACAAAGGAAAAGTAAGAAACCATCTTTCTGAGGATTGATTTCTAATAGCATTTTGTCGCCCATCTTAAACCAGAAAACCTACATCCCTTCGAAAGGAAGCAGTGCCGTAAATAGATTGTCTTCTTTAAGTCTCAGCTAAGTGTGTGTTCACTGTCTTTACACCTCTGTTTCTGAAACAACCCAGCCTTCCTGCAGGCATGTGGTAGACAGCTACTGTCTATATTTTTAACCAAGAGATAAAGTTCTTCTTGTTAACGGAAAAAGTTTTTAAAAAATTATTACGTGATATAACTAGAAGGGATCTTAATTATCCAGTCTAGTCCCCTCATTGGAAACTGAGGCCCAAACTAGAAAGTGATTGCCCAAGACTTATAGACTGACAGCAGAGCTGGGGCAAGAACCAAAGAATCCTGATCTGTGTTTAAGGATAATAACAACTGCTCACCCAGGGTGATGAAATGATCAACTGCTCCTGCATACACCTTATTGTGAGGTTCCTTTCTTCTTTCCCTGGACAAAATTGTCCACTCTCTTGGGAATAAATTATGAACCTTCTCTGTGTTCTCTGGATGAAAAAATATTTTGAGCACTTTGTCCTGGGTTAGTTGATTTAGGGGACAGAGAGAATGGGAGCAGATTGTGCTTCAGCCAGGTGCCACTGAGCTTCCCAGCTTTGACCCATCCCTGTCTCTGCTAACTCTTGCCAGGGCTTATCTAGAGATGCAGGTGAGTGAATGTAAAGAATACCCTGCAGCCATCTTAAAGCAATAATTGGCAAAGGGAAAATGGGCATATACCCTAAATGTTTATTGCAGTCTTACTAACATAATAGTCCAAAGAATGGAAACATCCTAAATTGTTCAGGAACCCAACTGTGCAGCCATTAAATACCATGGTTATAAAGTCTTTACAACAGCTGAAAAAAAAATGCTCATTAGGTAATGTTAAAAGAGCTGTGAAATTATGGAAAAAGTTTGTTTATTTGGAAAAAGACTTAAATATAAGGCACCAAAAACATAACAATAGTTGTATTAGAGTGGTGGAATGGGAATCTCTTCTCTATGTTCTTACATTTTTGGATGTGATTATACTTATTGTATAATTATGTATTTTGTTTTTATAAAAAATCTTCAGCAAAATAGACATCTGAGTCTACCTCTTTTTTTTTTCTTCTCTGATGGTTTGTCTTTCCCTCCTCCCCCTTCCTAAACCTGTCTTTGGATGAGGAGGAATTGTGGTGCAGAAAAGATCCCCAAGTGGCAGTCAGGAGACATGGATTCTGCTTCCAATTAACCTGTGACCTCAGATAAGCTCTTAGCCTCAATGGCTGTGGTCTCATCTCCTCTAAAGTGAGGGAGTTGGAATCTGTTTTCCCTAAGGTCCTTTTTAACTCTCACATTCTTTGATTCTAAATGAAAATAAAACTGTCTGCCTGACAGGGTTGTTGTGAGAAGTACCTGAATGGTTTGGATCCACTCTGTTAGTAGATTGCTGTAATAGGGTAAGTTATCCTCCTGGTAGAGGCATTTGTTCTTCAGTGTGCCGCATATGGAGAATAGAGAAGAGGAGGGAAAAGTGTTCTCCAAGCAGTATGACTCTTCAAAATAAAGGGACTCAACAGTTAAGTACTCTTTTCAGAGTAATGTGTATCTTATGAAATAAGTCAATCCAGTTTTGTCCTCAAAGCCCTCAGGCCCCCGTGTATGCTGGCGTTTAACCTGCTGTTACAGGCACAACTCTGGACCCTTGAAGGAAGTTATAAGCCAGAGCTCTGCTCTTCTGTACAGAGCACTCTGCTTCTCCCTCTACGGAGCTTCTAACCTCAGTTTGATTGATATTAGAACCTTATATTGTATCAGTCAGCCTGTTGTGAAATGGGTATACTGCCACATATACATAGTCTGCCTCAATAAAGTTTCCAAGTCCTGGAGACAATATGAGGACAGTAAGTATCCCAAGCTATAAGCATCCTGATCGAAGTAGCTGGATGCTCAGGTTTCCCTAAACTCTCTCAGGGCCTGCCTTCGTAGACACAGAATATGGGAACTGAGCTGCAATATGGAGGGGCAATGCTAATCTGAGATGAGGGACTGGAGGGATGGGATAGTTAAATCCCAGGGCATTTAATTTCCTAAGTCATTTTATCTCTAGATTGATAGAATTAAGAAAAGGGATTAGGTGGCTTTCTTAATGTTTTTTGCTCATTTTCCTTGATATAGGTGACTTACGCATGTGGTCACAAGGATGTTCCGACCTGTTTGTTGTTCTGTGGTGGCAGTTTGACCTGTGTTCTGAAAATGGCCCACATATCAGGAGTCCTTATATTATTAGCTTAGTCATCATCAAGAACTTTTTTTCTCTTCCTCCTTACATTCTTCAGTTCTTCAATGCCATTTTCAAACTGAAGATTGGAACAAATTAATCTCACTAAACCAACATTGTACATTTTCTCAAGGGTTGCCACAGATGTAGGATCTTACAGACCCATCCCATCAATGAAATGAAGAACCTTAACAAACAAATAAGCACTGCCATTTATTAATCACAGTAGAATTCTATCTCATTCTTGACTTGTAGTACCAGTTGTAGCAAAGGGACAGGGATTGTTCGGCAGAAATCATTCAGCTTAAGTGTGTTTTAGCTGGAGGTGTGTCTTCATTCGCTTCCAACTATTTTAATAGGATCTACTGCCTGCTTTTGGGGAGCATTCTGAACGAATTCCTAGGTGTCCTCAGAAGCAGAAAGTAGGCTGGCCAGTTACTCAGTTAGTTAGAGCGTGGTGTTAATAACAGCAGGCACGGTCAAGAGTTCAGATCCCCACACCAGCCAGCCACCAAAAAAAAAAAAAGTGAACCTTTAAGATACAGTCTAGATCTTTAGAGCTAAGAATAACTTCTCCAGTCTTATGAACTGGTCTGAATTACATATGTCTACCCTGTATATTATTGTTGATGAAGATTGAAATTTGTGTGTAAGTACCAGGCAAATACCATGTTCGTATCAGTCTGAAAGTTGCAGCTCAGATCATCAAAGTCTGGTTTTTTCTTTCTGGGTGTTGTTGATAAACTTAGCTGTTTGAGTTCCATGTTAGCTTCACATGGCCATTTTTTGTTATGCTTGTCTGTTTTTTTGTTTTGTTTTCCCTTTTCCTTTTTTTTTTTTTTAATGAAACACTTTCCATCTCTCTTCCTAGCAGATTCAAGCCCCAGTAAGACAACAGCCAAAGGTTCAGACAACCCCACCTCCTAACATCCAGGGTCAGAAACTTGGATCTCTCACTCCTCCATCATCCCCCAAAACCCAACGTTCTGGGCACAGGCGGATTCTCAGTGACGTAACTCACAGTGCAGTCTTTGGGGTCCCTGCCAGCAAATCAACCCAGCTGCTTCAGGCAGCTGCAGCTGAGGCCAGTCTCAATAAGTCCAAGTATGTGGTGCTTCTCCTTTGTTCTTCTTACCTGTGTGGACAAGGTCTGCCCTAGGCCATTATTATGTGGTTCTTTGCATAAGCATGTAGAGAGAGAGAGAGAGAGAGAGAGAGATCTCTCCACGCTCATATATATATATATATATATATATATATATATATATATATGAAATAGTGTGTGTCTGTGTTTAACAAGAAACTGTGAACTTGCCTGTGGTGGTGCATGTACCATACTAATCCTAAGAAATAACTTCCTACTTGGCCCACTGTTTCCAATGGGAGCGCCGCCGCGCTTCCCAAGCGGCGCACTAGCACAGTGCGCCACCGGGCCGGCCCTAAACTCTTGATCTGACCCAGTCTCTCTGTGCTGAACATCTTTCATTGGCTCCCCATTGCCTGTAGGACGATGTCTGAGTCCACTGGTTAACACAGCACAGCCTGTTGTATCACACAGCTGGATGAACCCTTTGTTCATCCTGTGCCCTCTCCTAGGACTGCTGCTCCCCTCCTTGTCCACCTAGGAAATGTTCATTTGTCAAGATCCATGCCAGAGGTCACCTTTTTTCACCTTTCCTCTGATATATCATTTTTTGTGGACCTCTTTTTGAGCATATATCACATTATATTATCATTAATTAGTTGTATGTTTGGCTGACCTAGCCTGAGTTCTGCAAGAGAACGGCTATGTCTTAGGAAACCTTTGTAAACCCAGTGACTGGCGCTATGCCTGACATAAAGTAGATTTTGATGACTACCAGTTGAGTAAGTGCAATTTCAGACCCTCAACTTTCTTGGAACCATGCACCCTAAAGTTAAAAATCTTGAAATTAAGTCAATAAAGACTTTAGAAGAAAATGAGGTAATGATACCTAGAAGAACAAAATAGTGGTAGTATCTTTATTTCTTCTTAATTGTAACGGTGGCCCTTAATTCTGGGCATACTAGATCTTGAAAGATAGGAAGCAGTCTAAATAGGTCTCAGTCACAGCCCTCCAGGGATCAGTTATTATGGGTGTTATGATGGTCACCAACAGAATGAACAAGCCTAGGAATAGGTTGCTTTGTGATCCTGAACTGAAAGTCCTTGTAGGTGAGACCGAAAAAACTAGGCAAGAGAGATTAAAGAAGGAGTGGGAGGTAGTGAGTCATGAAGGAAAGGAGACATTCGTTTCACAAGTGGAAGGGATGTCTGCGGAAACTGTTCAGTTGCCGTGGAAAGCCCTTTTAGGAAGACAATGTGGAAAATGATTGTTTGACTCAGAAAATAATTTCATCCTGAAACAAAAATAGGTTGACCTTTTCTGTTTTGTTCAATTTTTACATGTCTTTTTATTTCGCGGGGGTGGGAACCTACCTAGGTCTGCCACCACCACTCCATCAGGCTCTCCTCGGACCTCCCAGCAAAACGTTTATAATCCTTCAGAAGGTTCTACATGGAATCCCTTTGATGACGACAATTTCTCCAAACTCACAGCTGAAGAGCTGCTAAACAAGGACTTTGCCAAGCTGGGGGAAGGTAAGTTGTGTCTTTTTTGTGATTCTTGACTGTAAATTCTCTGTACTGAGAAATAACCAGGAGTTAGAATGAATCTTAGCTCTAGAGGGGTATCCGTGTGAAAGTGTAGGTGTAGGCCTTTCCCTCAAAGGCTTGATTTTAGAGTATGCATACAAATCGATTTTTATTTTTACCAGAGCACTGAAGTCTTTTCATCTTTAGGAAATCCTGACCTGTTGTGGGTGGCAGCAAGGAGAGTGTAAATGTTAGGGAAGAAGCTTTTAGGAAAGATTTAGTAGCATGGATCAGGATGATGGTGTTGAGCATGGTTTTTCTTTGGAGAAGTGTGATGGTTCGCTCATGTTAAGTGAGTTGATTGTCCCAGGAAGTGGTCACTGCTTGTCCATGAAAATATGTCCTCATATGGACACTGAATCTTTCACTATGATCAGTGTTCTGTATTACTGTTGACTAGCCACAGAAAGGAAATTAAATAGAAGATATAGTTCTGCCCGAAAAACCATCTAATTTGGAAGGCAGGACACACACACACACACAGAGGCACAGGTACATGCACACATTTTGGCAAACAACAGATACATCCTGGAAAAATTCTATAAAATGCAGTTCAGAAAGGGTACCCTCAATGTAGACAAGAGCACAGAGTAAAGGACTGGTCAGAATCAAGTGAATGATAAGCACTTCTGACCAAAAATTTTAATTTTAACTGTTGTTCTACAGAACTCTTTTAAAAATCGATATTAATTTTCTACCTTTTCAAACGGAAGAAAGGGCATAGGATTTAACTTTCTTTGACAACTCAGTTTCATTGTTATCTGTGCCAGTTATTGTTCTGGTCTGTAAACAGAAATACCTCTATGGACTGTTAAACTGTAGTATTCTTGTGCCTGCTTATCTAGCCCCTGAGTTTTTTAATTCTCCTGTCTATTTTTAATAATTTTTTGTCTCTCTTCTTGTTGTTCAGCTGTCAGCTTTCATGTTAAGCTACTGTCCTTCATAGCATCTCACTGCTGCCCTCTCCACCACACCTCCCTAAACTGCATCCAACATGGAAAACAGATTGTGAAGCCCATTAGAATTATATAAATGTAAATAGGTTATATGTGAGGGCTGGAGGCTTCTCCTCTGAGTAATGTGCTTGAACTGTAGGGCTTTAGCTCTGTGTTCTCTCTTTTCTGTTATTTTAATTTATTTATTTTTATTTTTTGTTTGTTTTGTTATTGTTTTTGTTTTATTTCTTTGTAAAAACAGTATTTTCTTTTTTTCCTTTTTTTTTGGGTGGCTTGGCTGGTCCAAGGATCTGAATCCTTGGCCTTGGTGTTACAACACTGCGCTGTAACCACCAGAGCTAACCAGCCAGCCCCCAATTTAAAAAAAAAAATTTAATTGTGGTAAAATAAACATAACAAAAATTACTATCTTAACCATTTTAAGTTTGCAGTTCATTAGTGTTAAGTACATTCACACTGTTGGGCATCCAATCTCCAGAACTCATTTCATCTTGTAAAACTGATATTCTATCTCTTTGGATTCTTAACAGTTTCCTTCCTTTTCTTGGATGTTCTCAGTTATTACAGTGACTGAATGAAGACTTTTGAATAGCCGAGGTATTGCCATAATGCAGTAAAGAGTCAAGTCTAGAAGTCAGTGCAGAGAGTGCCCTTTACCTCTACCGTGTGGGGGGGTGGTCACAGGATTTTGCTAGAGTGAACTGAGTCGTGTTTTTTCTTTCCAGGCAAACATCCTGAGAAACTTGGAGGCTCAGCTGAGAGTTTGATCCCAGGCTTTCAATCAACCCAAGGTGAAGCTTTTGCCACTTCCTCATTTTCTGCTGGAACAGGTTAGTATGGCCAAACCCTGGAACACGAGGCTCACTGTAGTTACCTTCACCCTGTCTTCCAATCCGTAGATAACTCTAGCATGCCAATGAGCCCTAAATTCTGGCAGCAACTTATATTTTCCTTTATTCAAAAGCTTTCCAATCAAAAAGGGATAGAGAGGGCCGGCCCGGTGGCGCACTCGGTAGAGTACGGCGCTTGGGAGCGCGGTGGTGCTCCTGCCGAGGGTTCGGATCCCATATAGAGACCGGTCCGCTCACTGGCTGAGCGCAGTGCGGGCGCAACACTGAGGGTTGCGATCCTGTTGCCGGTTGTGGTACGGGCGTGACACCGAGGGTTGCGATCTCGTTACCGGTCACGAAAAAAGACAAAAAGGAAAAAAAAAAAAAAAGGGATAGAGAAAGATCTAGAATCACTTTGAATTAAAGTGGCAGGATGATCTGGCAGTAATATCCTGGACTTGTTCTCTCTAGTCCACTGACATGTCTTACGCAGATATTTCTAAATTTGAGGAATAGCATCTGTTAATCTCTTGTAATTGCTTAGGCTCTTTGGGATGACTTGAATTCTAAGAATTAAATGTTCTGTCCTATATCTGAGTCTGTACTAAGCTCTGTGCGTATGTGTGTGTGTGCGCGTTGCACGCATGCACTTTTGGGGAGAGGGAGGTATTTTTTTAAATGTGACCTTTTTAAAAAAAATTTTAGAAGCAATGATAAGAGACTAATTTTTCCCCTTAATTAATAGAAGGTAAACATATTTATTATATAAAAGTAAGTTATAGAGAAAATTAAAACTCCCCACAATCTCAAAGGGCCACAAATATCTTTGTGAATCTAATGAACATTATAGATCTCCCTCACCAAAATACACAAGACCACAATTTTGTATGATTTTAGGCCTCAGCTTAAGACTCACTCTGATGTACATCTTTACAGTCCTATTTTTTTTTTCCTTTTTGTCTTTTTTCGTGTCCGGCAACGGACCGCAACCCTCAGTGTCGCGCCCGTACCGGACCGGGACCGGCAACGGGATCGCAACCCTCGGTGCTGTGCCCGCCCCTCGCTCAGCCAGTGAGCGGGAACCGGTCTGTATGTGGGATTCGAACCCTCGGCGGGAGCGCCGCCGCGCTCCCAGGCGGTGCACTGTAGCAGTGCGCCACCAGGCCGGCCCACAGTCATATTTTAAAACCTAGGTTTTTCACTTAGTAAATGTGGCATGTTTTCCCCACATCATTAAAGAAGCTTATAGAATGTAATTTTTAAAATATCTGCATTAAATTCCTTTATATACATATATCCTAATCTATGCTAAAAAATATCTCTTTTTTAAACATTAACTTGATTCAGTGTTTTACTATTGTGAATACTCTTTTTAAAATATCTGCATTAAATTCCTTTATATACATATATCCTAATCTATGCTAAAAAATACCTCTTTTTTAAACATTAACTTGATTCAGTGTTTTACTATTGTGAATACTTCGGCAATGGATGTGAGCTTTTGGATGTATTCTTTGTATATAGAGTTTGATAGGCTTCTAAATTTAATCTTTTTAATTATACTGATTAATTTCCACTTTTAACTTTATGTATTCTTTCGGTCTGCTTTCTTTAGGCATGTTAGTAGTTTTTGTAAACTCATCAATTTATTTCTGATTTTAACTTTGGCTGCCATTCTGTAATATTTGATATGTAATGCTCTCTATTCTCATTGTTTTCTGGATATTTTTAAAGTGAAGTTTCAATTTCTTCTTTAACCAGGAGTTACCTAGTATATGTTTTAATTGCATTGTGAACAGTATAGTGTATGAAGTCTTTGCAAGAAGTTTTTCCTGAAGGGCTTTCTGTGACCCAGTTTGTTATTCTTTTTGTGAATGTTCTGTGGGAATTCGCAGTTTTCCATGTCAATAAATATTAATCACCAATATGATTTTCATGGAAGAGTCAGAACATTTGTTTATTTTGCGAATATTTAGGTTGTTGTCAATTTTTCACCATATAAACATTTTTGAAGCTAAATTTTTGTTTATTTTTATTACAGCTTCTTTAAGATAACTTCTAGGAGATTATATGCTGGATCAAAAGATATGTATATTAAGACTTTTGATACATATTTCCATGTTGCCCTCCAAGAAAGTGATATAAATTTTATTTTTTATCAAGAGTGAATGGGAGTAATTTTCCCTGTCATTTCCCCACCCAGCCCAGCCCAGCAGCTATAGACAGAGGCCATTGTTTACTAGCCATTTTTAATTTCTTTGGGGATTTGTATTATTCATGTCCTTTGCCTTTTTTGGTGTTGTGTTCATTTTTTTCTTATTCATTTGTAAGTGTAAGAGCACTTTATATGTCATGTATTGTGAGCCTTTTCCCCAGTTTGTCATTTGTGCTGTATGAATACAGTCTCATCTAACACTCTCAATAATGCTTTGAGGTTGGTATTTCATCCCCACATTGGTTACAGTTGAGGTGACTGAGGCACAGAGACTCTCTTTTCCAGGGTTATCTGCTAGCGAGTGGCAGAGCTGGTACATTGACCCTTTGGCTCCAGAGTCTCCTCTCAGGTTTTAAGCCTCTTAATGAGGCAAATTTAGTAATTATCTTTTCCTGGAAAATCATCTGCTATTTTAATTGTATGTATTTGTGTTTCCTTTTTCTTGGTAACTCTAGCTAGAGGTTTGCTATTTTATTATCTTTTCAAAGATAACTCTTAGATTTTGAAAATCTACTGTTTTTTCCATCTTCTTATTCTTTAACCTTTGTTTTTATCTTTTTGGTTGCATTTCCCTGTTTTTCTTAGTTTTGCTTTGGTGACATCAACAGGATCGTGTAGTAAAATTTTTTTCAATTCTTTTAAAAAAAAATAAAATATTTGAGCCATGAGTTTTTCTCTCAATATAAGTCATTTTCAATCATTGGAGAGGGGAGGAAGGCTAATTACAATCTCGAGAAAGGCTTTTTCACATGCGGATTTTCCAGTATCCTCTTTTCTCCTCCTCCCTCCAGTTGCCCTACCCCAACCTTTGAGGATTGCACTGTTTAGTGAGAGTCTTTCTAATAAGTGTGTGTTTCCCTAGTAAGAAAAAACTGGAATTTAATGGAGCTTTAACCATATCTTATAAGTCTTCAGATGATGTTCTCATTGTTATTATTATGGGGTTATTTGGGAGTTATGCTTTTTAATATTAAGTAGTTAAAATTTTTTTGTGTTATTTTTAGCTTTGTCTGGTCTGTGTAAATTTTAAGCTTATTGATACTTTGGTCAGGTTTTAAAATGTTCAAAGACCAATTCATGGTGCTTGAAGTTTGATATAACCAAACATACCAAATGTATAAAGCATCAACCATTATCCTTGACATAGAGCATTAAAATGATTACCAGCCATGGTCCTGGGTAGGATATAGTTTCCCTGGAAAGAGGGTCATGGAACAAACTCTAGGAGAGTCTTCTTTGCTGCTGAATCCCAGCATTTAGCACAATGTTTGGCTCAGTACAGAAGGTTGAACGCTTAAGAATGGTTGCTTTTTGCCAAAGCTTAGGAGCTTGGATCCACTGATATTAATAACAAAAGTTCCTAATTATTTTCCATCCACTACCACCCTACCAGCCCCAGTTTTAATGCCTAATTCTCATTTACCACATACAGTTATGTTTCATTGTTTGTCTGCAAGAATTTTTTTTTTTTACAGAGGTCTATTTTGTTTTTGCTTCCCTCCACCACCCGGTTTATATTTATTTTGAAGGCTGCAAATGGCAGTATATTTTTTTAAGGGACTTAAAAGGCTCAGCCACAAACACATATTTGAATAAAGTTATGACAATACACCCGGTTTATATTTATTTTGAAGGCTGCAAATGGCAGTATATTTTTTTAAGGGACTTAAAGGCTCAGCCACAAACACATATTTGAATAAAGTTATGACAATGATAATAGTGAACGTGTATCGTACACGTGATACATGCTAACCCCACTAGGTAAGTGCTTTTTCGCATATTATCTCAAGAGATCCTCACAACAGCCTACCTGCCCAAGGGCACAGTTAGAAATGACAGAATAGAGATTTGTATTTAGGCAGCCCAGCTGGGAGGCTATAGTTGTAACCACGTCTGAGGAATCTCGTAGATCAATGACACTGAGCATTTATAAATGTTATAAAATGTCTTCATGTTTTCCTCAGTTTTCCAGCATTTTTCTATGAACATTTGGTATTTTTCCTTGTTTCTTATTTGTGATGTGAACATTTTTTTTCATGCAACACCTTTATTCTTTACAAATGAAAGAAAATTATATCTAGATCCCAGAGACTCATTTGCCCTAATTTGTATGAACAGGATGGCACCATTTTCTTCAAATTTTCTAATTGAGTTCAGTTTACTGATTTTAAACCTGACTGATGAAAGGAAAAACTAAGCAGGAAATTTGGTAATGTGTTAGGGAGGATGACACAATGGTTATCTTAAACACTTTTATGGTAAAAGCTGCAAAAATGTTGATGAACTGTCTATGCAACGGAAGAGGACCAGGCAAACATTTTAAACTTGACATTGTGCCTCTTTAAGATATTTTCCTATGGATGTTACACACATTCATTTATAAAACTTTGGAGAAATGGATGAAAGCCCAAAAAAGTAAGAAAAAAGAACTCATAACCCCACTCTGAGAGAATAGTATTTGTTGACATTTTATAGTATTTATATCTAGAATCTTATTTCTTCATATAGTCCTTTTTCAAATATGACAACTGTATATTCAGTTTTATAATTTGCTTTTTTCTTTCAAATATATTGTGTCTCATTTAAAAATATTTCAGACTTAAAAGCATTATTTTACCTTTCTCTTCCTCCTTCTACCTTGAATGAAACTTAGTTATAAACCCACTGTAATAACAAAATTATAGAGATTGAGAACAAGTTAGTAGTTTCCAAAGGAACAGGAGTAAGGGGTGGGTGTGACCATAAAAGAGAATCAGGGCGGTCTTTTGTTTGAAAGAATAGTTCTGTATTATGATTGTGATGGTGCTGGTACTAATCTATACATAGAATCAAGTTGCAAAGAACCGTACACACAAATTGGAGGAGGTGAAGTTCCCAGAGGGAATTAGCAGTCTGAGGAGGGAGTGGTTTAGAGATGGGGAAATAGAGTTTGAAGGGGGACTTGGGGGCCACAACAAGGAAAATTGAGAGTGCAAAGTGAAATTGAGTGTTGGAAGGTGTGTGGTCAGGATCCCAGGGAGTATTGGGGGTCCAAGAAAGGGGGTGAGGGTAGAGAGTGGGAATTTGGAGTCCAAGGAAGGGACGTGGGAGTGGGGTTGGTAGGCTGTCAGAGGGGGTTGGAGGTGAGCTTCCTTCCCACCCACTTCCCAGGGCAGGCCTGGAGAGGCAGAGGGTAGGCACTCATAGCCCGTGAGCCTGGTGTGCCAGTCACTGAGCTGAGTCTGGTAGCAGCTGCTGGCAAAGTAGGGCTGACTGGTCACTGGGTAGGACATGGCTGTGCAGGGGGGAGGGTAGTAGTCAGGTGGTAGGCTTGCAGTGCCTCCTGGGCCCCCTACACCCCTGCCGCTCTTTCCTCTGCTGGGCAGTCTATGTGGAGCCACCAGGCTACCCACTGAGAGGACACCACTGTGCCTCCCCCTCCCCATCTGCCACATCTGGGCATTGACACCCCAGTCTGTTCCTGTTGCCACTGCCTCCTGCACATCTGGTTGAGCTGGGAGTGGGGACTCCTGCATGCCTGAGAAAGGGTAGGTGCTACATGTACTGCCTCCTCTTCATCTGGGCCTGGGGTGCAGGATTCCTACATTTTGGGGACCTCTGGGATGGAAGCAGGCACTATTTGTCTTCGAAGCCAGGGTGCCCAGGGGAGGAAGGTGGCTAGGTTCTGGGGACTAGGAGGGCTGCTGGTCTCTCCAGCAGTCCCACCTTTCATGTTGTCATGCATCTCAAAGTGCATCTTGCTGGCCCTGAGGAGGGGGCACTGAGGACATCAGAGGTGGCTGTGGTGACAGTGGTGGAGTCTGTGCAAGAGAAGCTGGCTATTGGGGAAAGGAGAGGAGGAGAGGGGCAGAGGCACCAGGGGCTGGGCTCTTGGGTGGAGGGGAGAAATAGGGATTTAGGGGGCATTGAAAAAGAAATGTCCAGAGGGATAGACAGTAAGAGATATGAAAGGAGACAAATGTGAGTGTGGTGGAGTGGAAGGAGAACAGAGCAGAGGGCTGCAGTGGGTGCTCCTACCTGCAGTACTGTGAGGGCGGTGATGGAGACAGACGTGTGGGTGACATGGGCACTGAGTGAGAAAAAAACAATTATACACACATGTGTGCATGTAATCACTGGTGAAAACTGACTAGGTGAGGTAACAGTATTGTGCCAGTGTCAGTGACATTATATTACACTTGTGTATAACATCACTGGGGGAAGCTGGTTAGATGGTTCACAGGACTCTATGTACAGCAACTTCCTGTGATTCTGTAATTACTTCAAAATAAAATGTTTTTTCAAAACCCACTTTTTGAAAGCAAAATGAGATTTTAATTAATGAACAACTAATACTAACATGCATGTTAAGAATGATCAAGTAAGAACTGAGAGAGATGGGTTGTGATACTAGTTCTGCTGGTGGATCTCTGGCTAATCTCTTAACTTTTGGGGTTCATTTTTTTTTTTCTGGAAAATAAGGAAATTGTGCTAGAAAATTCTAAGATCTCTTCAAGCTCTGATATTCCAGAGGGTGTATAAATTTCTATAAGTCTGTAATTTGCCAAATATAGAATAAATGCCATTAGTATGTTAGATATGGTCCAGAGGTGAGGGCTTATATAACCTTGTAATAGGCAAGAAGTCTATTTCTGCCTCTTCCCGTGTGTCTGCCTAGCACTATATTAGACATTATGGTGATATAATACAACTTAGTCCCTAATGGACTTCAAGAGGGTAATGGATACATAGGAAGTACCTATACACATGTACTAGATTACAAAATAGGCAGTGTTTGTGTATGTGTCAGAATGTGTGATCTGGACAGTAATTCCTATAGGAATTCCAGAAGAGATCACTGTAGGCTAGCCGATTAGCTCAGCAGGTTACAGCGTGGTGTTGTAATACCAAGGTCAAGGGTTTGGATCCCCATACCAGGCAGCTGCCAAAAAAAAAAAAAAATGAAGGAGATAACTGTAGGCTGTAGTATCCAAGGAAGAAGTGGAATGTGGAATTTCAGATATATGAATATCTTGGTTTTCTCATTAATTGCATCTCATAATATGTTACAAGAACCAGACTGTACATTTCATAGATACATTGCAGTTACACTATCTTATATTCACTCATCCCTCTTCATTCTGCCTCTAAGTTTAACTTACTCTATAATTTGAGCTGTCGGGTTAATAGATGGCAAGTTCATCTAGTTTACCTGATGTTTTCTGCTTTTCTCTTTTTCTCTCCTGACGCCTTCTTCCTCTCCAACCAACTCCAGCTGAAAAAAGAAAGGGTGGGCAGACTGTCGATTCTGGCCTCCCACTTCTAAGTGTGTCTGATCCTTTCATTCCTCTTCAAGTACCTGATGCACCAGGTAGGTAAACAGAACTGATCTGAGGTTAAGCAGCTTGATTGTTAGGTCCCAGGGCCTCTGGAGAGTTCTGTTTTAAACACTCCATGAAAAAGATCTAAGCCCTAATAATAGGTGGCTATTGTATGTTTTCACTGTGAGAGTGGCAAATTTGTGTTGAAGAGTACTGGCCCTTAGCAAAGATAATAAAATCAGTTCAGATTATACTAAATTGTATTCCATAACATATTGGTATTCAGTTATTCATCTTTGATTGTGTTAGCAATAATGTGAGGGGCCTGTGTATTGGAAAGAACATTAGTCCAATATGATTATAACAATGTGTGTGTGTGTGGGGGGGGGGACCTGTAAGCACATGATAAAAGGAACAAAATAGGAATAGTGGTTATGGTGTGATGATGGAATTATGGGTAGCTTCCTGTCCAGTTCCTGTGTTTCTATAATGTACTTTTATTTTATAATATAAAAATACATCATACAGGTTGATAAGGAATGTGAGTCAGGAGAGCAGGGTTCCCCATCTAAGCTCTGCCACTACCTGGAAACCTTCTGGGCTTGACTCTTCACCAGTGAAGTAGGTATGACTGAATATCCCTTTCAGTCTGTCATATCTTATTTTTAAGTAAGCTGTCTAAAAAATAAGAAATGGTTAGCATGTTCTGATTGAAACAGCTTTTGAAACAATAATTGGACGCTCTCCATTTGGAGTTCATGAAGACCAAAGATTTCCCTTCCTGCTCCCCTCCCATACTTCTCTTTGGAGGGGAAGTGGCATGAGGAACGGAAGCTGCCCTTACTCTTGTCTGTCAGTCTCTTTGAAAAGGCAAATAGATCTAACTCCTTAGCAGCAGCTGGTGGTAGTTTTGCTTCCGACAGTTTTTCCTTTTTTCCCCATTCTTACTCCTGCCAATTCTTGAGCTTGAACTCATAGGATTGGCTTGGTTTTTCTTCTGTCTCAAAATGTTAAAGGTGTTTGATTGGTTGCCTCAAGATTGGAAGAGATAACAGCGTTCATATCCTTTACTTGCTAGTAGAGACTGCAGCTACGGTACCAAGACATTTTTATTTCTTTAGGCAATTTTTTGACCCTTCGAAGGGGAAGCAAATACTTGCCATGATCAGGCAGTATTGTGTAACTTTATAGTTTGTTGGACCCAGAATTAGCTCAAAATCACTGAGGAATGATTCAGTATAGGGTGGTTAAAGGAAAAGGAAGAAAGGAATCAAATAAAGACCATGTTTCTCAGTGACTTAACATTTTTATTTTATACTTTTAAAATGTTTTCACATGTAATTTCCTTTGATCTGACACACACTACTGAATGTTAGGTGCTAAGTATGTCAAGTAACATACTCATTTTGTTGGTGACGAAGTGAGGCCTTAGTGCTGTTCTGTCTGTCCTAGGCCACACGTTCTTTTTCATTGCCCACATCCCCCAAGTAATGGATGCTGCTTTTGTCTTTGGTATAGTTCCTAGATCAATAAAGCCTTTGACTAGAGAGCTAAATTTAAGGTTAAGGGAAATATAAAAATAGAATTGAACTTGTAAGACGTGGGTTCTAGCCACTTAGTAGTGAGGTAATTTGGGTCATATCAATTAAATTCTGTGTTTTCATCCTTAAAATTGGCTATACTAAAACCTACCTTATGACATAGCCATGAGGTTCAGATGAAATTATGTGTTTGAAATTGCTGTGTGAATTTTAAATTACTATAAAGATGGGAAATGCTGTTACAACTTTGGTTTTGTATCCTTGTTCTCAATCAGGCAGTCCTAGGTTTCATAAGGTGATCCTTTTCTTGTGTTCAAATTAAATTTGCTTTTATAATCTTTAACTTTTACACAACTGAGAACCATTAAAATAGATTTCCTGGATACAGTGATTGTCAAACTATGGGTTTGACAGGGGTACTGGATAATTACGGGTTGGTTTGTTTTAAGGAACATTTTTATATTCCAAAGCTCCATGAAAGAAATTTTTTTAGAAAGTATGGAATACGAAAATCACAGCCATGAGCATTTGTATGCTCTCAAAGCTCCAAATGAAGCATGGCTAGTGAGTCTCAAAGTATTACATTGATGCTTATATGTTGCCTGTTAATTTATTTTGCCTTCTGTTTGCTTTAGGGAACAGATAAGCTATAAGTGTCAAAGTTTGAAAATATAGTAGAGAAGTTTCAGAAATTTTCTCTGGAAATTGAGGAAAAGGTTTTTAAATTATTTTTTTAAATTGTAGTAAAATATACATAATAAAATTTACTATTTTAGTCATTTTTAGGTACAGTTCAGTGGCATTAAGTATAGTCACATTGTTTTCCAACCATAACCACCATCCAGCCACACAACATTTTTGATCTTGCAAAACTGAAACTCTGGGCTCATGAAACAATAACTCTCTATTTCCCTCTTCCCCCAGCCCTTGGCCACCACCATTCTACTTTCTGTCTCTATGAATATGACTACTCTAGCTACCTTATATAAGTGGAATCATTCAGTATTTATCCTTTTATGACTGGTTTATTTCATTTAGCACAGTGTCTTCAAGGTTCACCCATGATGTAGCATATGTCAGAATTTCCTTTTCTTTATAAGGCTGAATAATATTCTATTGATGTGTATACCACATTTTGTTTATCCTTTTATCCAGTGAGACACTTGTAGCTATTGTGAATAATGTTGCTATGAACAGGAATGTACAAATACCTCTTTGAGGTCCTGCTTTCAATTATTATGGATATATGCCCAGAAGTGGAACTGCTGGACCATATGTTAATTCCATTTTTAACTTTTTGTGGAACCACCATAGAGGCTGCACCATTTTGCATTCCCATCAGCAATGCACAAGGATTTGGGGAAACGATTTTTATAACAATTCTTCAATACTGATCTCTTGACATCAGTTTTTTATAAGACTAAGCAATAATGCCTTAGTTGCCCTGTAAGGGCTGCTTCCTAGCATTAGAGACTTTTTTTAAAAAGAAAAAGAGGTGCTTCTTGGTTTATGGCACTCCATCATCACACAAAGTAAGACAAGAGGAGCAGTGTTTGCTTAGTAGTTTGTTGTCAGGATGGGCATTCCTCTCACAGCTAGTTGCCTGGCATCCTCCTCATTTCCAACTGCTGTCTTGTGATACTGAAAAGCCCAAGGTTGATCATAGTATGTGTTTTTACTCTGGAAAGTTTATCTTCCTGAAGATGTAATTCTCTAAAATGAACTTGGGGCATGATGTTTGACTTTTGCTTCCAACTTGCAGATGTCACAGATGGTTTTGTGTCTGTTTTCTCAATAATAGGAATTATTTAGAGTGCCTAGATTTTTAAAAAATCCTCTCTCATCATAAGATTCCAGGGCTTGCACCCCAAGTCCGACAAGACATAAATTTCCAAAGCCACAAAGCTGGAGCAGCCACATCACCTTTGGTGGGGCTCATATGAAGCTCTTTCATGTTCGTTAGTTTAGCCTCTTCTATTCCTCCTGTTCGTACTCCTAATTAGGGTCGGAATGGGCCTTGATTTTATTAGCCTGTATAAATAGATATCTACCCTTTCTTTTGATATTTTAAAAGAGAAAGGTCACAATTTGCAGTATATCCCAGTCTCATGTCAGGAAGTGGTTTTAGACTGATTTGTGAAGGATTTATTGTTTTGTCTTGTGGTTGATATTTTTAATGACTAAGTCTTGAAAAGGGAGGTGTAAGAGAAGAATCTGAAATGGATTCATTCCTGACTCAAACTTTAGCAACTCTTTCCTTTCCTCTTCTCCTCCCCAGTCCCCATTGCCAGTTGAGTTATGTTTAAGAGGAGAGGAGGAGGTGTACAGAGGAGAATACCCCCTTTCTCTCACCTCTCTCCTTAATTTTAAAAGATTAACAATCCTCTCTTTTAAAAGCACTCTCAGTTTCCATTATCCAGGCTAAATAATTGTGCATCTATTTTTCTTCAGGGATCTACTTTCCAGTCCTTTAACCATGATTTCAGCAGTTCTCCAAGTTCTTACCCTGACTTTTTTTATCTAGTTCCCGTAGAGACCTGAGAGAGAACCAAGTGTAGCAATAGGAATGTGGTAAGGAAACATCACCAACAAAATGTATGAACAGACAGTTCCATAAAAGAAAATATGTTACCAGTAAATATATTTTTAAAAAGTTTATCATCATGATGAATCCAAAAAGTGCCAACTATAAAACAATGAGACGCTGCAATTTCCACTATCAAACTGGTAAAGATGAAGAAAAAACACCACCTCAGGCTTGGTAAAGGTGTAGGAAAATGGATACCCACATACCCTACTAGTAGGAATATCTATTAGTACAACTTTTGGGGAGGACAGTTTGGCAGTTTATGACAAAAACCTTTGAAGGTTTTACTTTCTCTTTTACTTAACAAACTCTGTTGCTTAAAAATTATTCTAAGAAAACATGGATATGCTTAACTATTTGTTGGAACAATCAGAATTCACAGGAAAAAAGTGGAAGATATTCATTAAAAAACTCTTAGTAGTGGATATCTCTAGAAGTGGGATTATGTGCAGTTTTACTTTTATCCCTTGGTTTGTCTGTATTTCCCAAATTTTCCAAAATGAATATGTACTACTTTTGTAATAAGGGGGAAAGCTTACAAGTTTTTTTTGCCTGCAGGTTGTGAGCTTAGCTCTTCCCCCAACTTCTCACCCTGCTCTCCTGGCTGTGCCTTTCTGGGCTGAGTTTGCATGTTGAACAGCATGTTGAGTCAGCTCTCTGTGTTTCCAAAACATGCTTCCTTGGGGCCAGTCATCTTACCTCCTGCCTGTGTCCTTCTGCCGACATACCCTCCAAGTGCCTTTCTCTGCAGTTATTACCAGTTCTGATCTTCAGTTTCATCTCTCAAGTTCATCCCCTAAGCAGCCAGTTTCTACTTGCATTTTTCCCTTTATGTTGGATGATTGGTTTTGAGTGATACTTAGGGTCTTTAAGTTTATCTTCATTTTTTTCAATGAGAAAACTTAGACCCAGAAAGAATAAG